TGTGGACAAAGTTTGACTGAAATATCTGAAGATTTTCGACTTTTTGGGACTTTTTAGACTAGGCTGGAACTTTCTGGACACTCTGGTATGTTTCTTTAGCTCATATCTTTTCTTCTATATCTTTTCTCTTCTTTCTATGTGCCTCTACTGGATCTAGCTGCTTTGAAAAGAGCATAGGTTAGCATTTGGCCAGTCTGAGGTGTGTAATTTTTGCTTTTTTTCAACCTTTGTCATACTCTCTCTCTCCACCATCCCTCTCTGATCCCTACTCTCCCATGCTCTTCTCTTTTTCTTCACCCCTCCTTTCTTCTCCATTATTCTCTCAGCCCAGCATGCTTCATGTTTCAATAAATTTTCGCTTTTTTGACCTTTTTGAAGCTCTGGTAGGCTTTTTCTCATTCCTCCTTTCCTCATGTTTCTCTGCCCTTACTCTTTCTCTCTCATACAGTCTTTTGTTTCTGTACACACAGGAGTAAAGCTAGAGACTGTTAGGATAAAATGTGAGTTTTTTTTCGATTTTTTTCGTCCATTTTCTCTCCAAACCCTCCCCCTTCCTCTACTCTCCTGCCTTTTCTTCTCACCTTCCCTCCTCATATCTCCCCTCTTATCCTAATTTCTTTGTCTTCACTTCTCCTTCTCATTTTCTCTCTTTAAACTTGATACTGACTTGTTTCTTCTCACTTTGAGAGCGTGGGAACTCATGCCATAGACTGGCACAGAGTTCTCACACTTACTCTACCACTCTTCCCTCCTCTCCTCTCACCCTCTCTGTCTCTCTTTTTCTTCATCAATCCTTCTCTCATCCTGTCTTGCATTTTCCCTACCCCTCACTCTCCCTACCTTACTTCTTTACCCTAACTTATTCTCCCTTTGTCATTTTTCTCTTTCTCTCCTCTCTCTCTCTCTCTCCCTATCCTGTATTTTGTTTCCTTCTCTTTCTCCCTATCTGTTCTATTTCTTTCTTGCTTCTCTCTGATGTATATTTACATGAGTGAGACAATATTGTACGTACAGAATGTGATTATATGTATTAATTTTGGTCTTCATCTGTGAACTGGCAAGTCGAGTGAGGAAGGCGTACAAAAGTGAGCTGGTGTGAAAATAACAAGTATACATAGGAATCTGCAGAAGTATCCAGATGCTACAGGTGCGTAGTAGACAACTATAGAAACTATATAGCAAACACGTATTACATACCTTGCGATGCTGGCTATATGAGAACTCTTGACTATACGGGATCAAAAGGTAGATGTCCAAAAAAAATACGATGTGATCAGCTACCCTATACCCCTCAAAGTGCTCAGAGTGTTGATTTGGAGTTTGCAAGTAAACAAAGACTAGTCAAATGTCAGTAACAGCGTAGTGAGCACTTTGAGAGGTATAGGGTAGCTGATCACATCCGGTTTTTTTTGGACGTCTACCTCCTGATACATAGAGCATATCCATAACGGGGATTGGTCTAAAACTCCCCCAATTATATTCAGAAAAGCAAACACGTTGCAGAATTGGCCATTTACAGCCAAAAACCGATGTTTCGCATTTTTACTGAATCACACAGACCAGTTATGACATTTTCGATGACCCAGAAACCTTTAATATGATGTATCCTTGGCCTGTACCATATCGCACTACGATCGCACTGCATTTGAGAGAGATCTGGACCATATACACCCCCAATACTACCTGTGTGCTAAGGTAGCCTGGTACTAAACCTAAGGTGTCACCTATAGCCAAACCCTAACCAAACCCAAACCAAGCCTAACCCTGTAGCTGAGGGTGTCGGCGTACGAATGTGAGTACTAGGAGCGCTTGTCCTAGGGGCACTAGCCCAGAGAGAATGTGGGTGAACTGAGACCGTGGGCTTGGGGCTGGATACACCAGGACACAAGGTCACACTGAGTATGGCGAGAAGCAAAGGAGATTGAGTTAGGGAACTATTCTACGATACAGGTGGTTCTTATATACATCCTGGGCTGACCCTTGAGGGCACGTCCTCACTGTACACTAACGAGTGAACACTACAGGAATCCTTCATGGATATCCAGTGGGTCCAGCAATGGGCACAATGGGTACAAACCGCTGAGTCAACATGCACAAGACTATTCTAGAACGTTCCAGACCTGATCACATGTCCCTACATCACGACCACAAGGTCACATGCCATCACGTGCCTACCACATGACTGGTCACGTGCCTATCCCTCTATCCATCCTATATCTCCATCGTCGAAGTGGCACCTGGGGCCACAATGCCTGCAAGGCGCGTACACTCCTCAGAAACACCGAGAAATAAAGATTTAGGTTTAGCCCGGAGGCCGTTTCAGTACCCCCCCTCTAAGACTCGACGTCCTCGTTGAGTGCCTTATCTCTCCCTGGCATCTTTCCCTCCTGGCAATCTGGTATATCCCAGGCTTTACCCGTCTTAGGATTGAATCCGTCCGTTAGACTTTCCTCCATAGACTTCCAAGTGTACGTAGCAAAGACGAATTTTCCTAGTGGTCGCGGCGCTGAAGGATGCTTTTTATGGAATGACTTGACTTTGTCTTCCGCATTTTTCAGGTTCTTAGCCGGTTCCCAACTATTATCGCCTTCACCATAGCCCTTCCATTTCACCAGATATCTCAACCCTTTCCCTACCAACTTCGAATCCAACACTTCGTCCACTTCATACTCCTCTTCTCCTTCTACTTCCACTGGCTCTGGTGGTGGTGGTAGTATCCCATTAACCTCATTACCCTTCCAAGGCGAAAGTCGATCGATGTGGAACACCGGGTGTACACGGAGATCTTTAGGAAGTTCTAACTCGTAGTTAACTGGGCTTATTTGCTTTGTAACCTTGTAAGGTCCCAGTTTCCTAGCTGTGAGTTTACGAACACCTTTAATCTGGATTGGTTTTGCATCTAACCAAACCATATCTCCAACCTCGAATGCCCTTTTCTCAACGTCTCCTTCCTTTGCCTGGTCTTTCTTTGACATCCTCATGGCTGCTTCTGCGTCCTTGCGAGCTGCTTCTAACTTTTGCAAGCGAGCTTCGACTGAAGGGAACTGCGAAGGCGAACCAGTAGGCTGTACTGAAGTAGGTTTGAAGCCGTACAACAACTCGAACGGTGCGAATCCAGAGGAACTATTTTTCCGAGAGTTTATCGCGAACGTGAGGGTTGGAAGCCAGTCTACCCAGTCTTCGCCTCGGCGATTACAGTAAAGACGGATTTGCTTGGATATTTCTCTATTCATCCTTTCCGTCTTTCCGTTAGCACGAGGGTGGTAGGCAGTTGTGAGGCCTCCTTCTATCCCGAGTCGCTTTAACAATGCTCTCATAGCTCTAGAGGCGAACTGTGGTCCTCTATCGGAGACAAACTTCTTCGGCAGACCGAAATCTGGGAAGACGTGTTTGAAGTGTAAATCTCCATCAGCAAACCAGGAAATTTCTCATAGGGATACTATAGAACAGATACATCAGCAAATCAGGTTCTGGATATGCTTACTATATTAGGCCATATAGCCGGAAGATACATAGAGCTTATCCCTAACGGGGATTGGGCCAGAAATTCCCCAATTATATTCAGAAATTCAAGAACACTGCAAAATTGGTCATTTATAGCCCAAAACCGATGTTTTGCATTTTTACTGTATCACACAGACCAGTTATGACATTTTGAAGGACCCTCCTAGCCTTGTACCACACTGCACCACGATCACACTGCATTTGAGAGAGATCTGGACCATATACACCCCCAATACTACCTGTGCACCTGCTCCCCCATCAAAAACATGGTTTTGCTTTTTTCCACCATCTACCAGCGGCCGTTCTTGTGCTTTAATAATGTTTATATACATTTAAACTAAATTACCACAGCAAGCACGGTGCCAAAAACGCGTAAATTGGTGTTTCTGTGATTATACTGTGGCCCAATACACTGTTTTACCCCCTCAGCGCCCCACAATTAGTGCAGGACCATTTTGACTAATGTTTCACCGTAGATCAACTTCCCAAACATCAAAGTATATTGTCCAATCATCACTTCAACACCACCAAACATTCTAACCATGGTAATACCCCCAGGGTAGATGTTCTCCTCCTCCTCCCCTAGATGCGGCACCACTACCAAGGCCACAATCATTGTTTTTGTGTCCGGTGTGCTCCCCATCACTTAGTATTGATATAGGACTACCAATGACAGCAAAAACCAAGGTAATCGAACCGCTATATCCCCAGTTCTGGCCTGCCCACCCCCTTTCGCCGTGATAGGGCAATATCTTGCTGACCGTTCACGCTATAACTTTGGAACGAATGGACCGATTCCTTCGAAAATTGATTTCCACCATCTTATATATTTATCAATGTTTATCAGATAGTCATAAATGCCAAAATTGACCCCCTTCATGTTGCCGTAATCGGGCCACAATTTATGTTTTATATGTCAATTCCATCGAAATGACACCCGGCAATGCGATCCGTTTGTCCTAACTCACAAAACTCGCAAAGTTACCAAAATACCCCCAGATCACCCCGTTTCCCCTACCGATCTACCCCCAGGTATCCAGTACCCCTACCCTAGCATCCCTACTATTATTCTACCATTTTTCCGTATTTTTATTGGCCACTGTTCTATCCCTATTCACCCTACGATCATCCCTGCCCATATTCCCCATTTTATCCCTACATAACCCAGCCCATTTCACCATATACACCCTACCTACCCGCCCTACCCATTCCCCAGCACCCCTACCCCATCCCCTACCCCCCTACCCTACCCCCAGGACCACCCCTATACGCCCTACCCCATTACCCTGGGCCACCCGGCCACCTAGAACCAACCCCCGGCCGCCCCAATAGCCAGCCCAGTACTGGCATTTAATATTATTTTCCTGAGGATCAATTGTAAAGGAACTTCTTCTTACTAGCAGGTAGAATTATAATTATGCTACATGTACTGGTGTATTCTTTGTGTTTCGCCTTCTTCGGAGTCGGAGTGTTCCTCGGAGGGGTAGTCGTCGCCCATGTCCCTGCACCTGAGGACACCATCTGCTGCTGTTGATGCGGTTGATGTGGTTGATGCGGTTGAGGATGTTGATGCTGGTGGTGGTCGTCCGACGATCTGGTCGCGGAGGTCAAACGTATCCTGACGATGTCCATGTCGCGTATAAGGTCCGGTACGCACTACGTACTACGTATGCGGAGGAAATGAGAAAAGAAAAGAAATTACCTTGCTTGAAGGTCCATCCAACCCCCGTAAGTGTGCCCGGGAATCTACAATGGAACAAACATATACAAACATGTGCGATAAGATGAGGGGGCGCCTTGATAAGATAGTGTTCTGTCTGGCGCCATCGGTCGAAATAAATCGTCGTAAACTGCAGAGAATAATAACCTCTCGTCCACTTTCTCCAAAATCGTGGCTGAACATATCGTCAATAAACATGCGTGATAAATAGTGTGGCGCTACCAAATTCACACCTTCTCCTGCCGCTGAAGACGAGTGCGAGAGCTGCCCTTTGTCCGGTGCGTATGATTTCAGATTCCTTCTCTCGTCCCTCTATGAGCTGCTTACTAGAGTCTACGTGAAGTAGACCTTGAATCCACCATTATGCCCCAAACCCCCGCATTCCAACCATTGTGGAAGACGGCCGTTGCAAACATCGACCAGTTGTTAGCGGTCATAGCGGTAGCCTATCAGTACTTCTGCTTGAGTCTTATGTGTGCTTATGTGCTTACATTGCTTATGGATCACTGCCAACGTCTTGTGACTTTCTGATTGAAATGGTTGAGCGTGTTCTAATGGCCAGAGGGTGTTCAGTTCTAAGCGAGGGATTCTGTCAGTGTTGGTAGGAAAAAAATGAGGGTTTGAAGGGTATAAATGTATGGTGTTGAGGTGGCATGTAATGGATAAAATTGAATCATCAACAGAGCGGTGACATCAAACCATAGTAGATTAGCCTAGGCTAGGCTAGGGTCGGGGATGACCGACGTCGACCGTAGCTTAACCTAGCCTTTTTCACCTAGGGTATTGTCTCCCCTAACTCCAAGTTGCTTTATTTTATCACTACTACCTACTCGTAATGGTTCTGATCACTGTTGTCGACCATCATAACTTCATCCTTGAAGTTCACCATCTTGCTTCCCACTGGCCACTGATTCTTATGTACTTGCGTGCTTACCCATGCTTATGGATGTCCATAAGCACAGATAAGCATGAATACAGAAGTACAGTAGTACCCGGTCAATCCCACAATGGATTCTCTGCTGAGATGAACTGCAAGTTCTCGCACCGCCCGTTCTTGGTCCGTATTGCTCATGCTGTCCCTACTTGCCCCGATTTTAATCCCTTTCCGCAGTCTAAGGAGGTCTATGATGTTGATGACAGTGACCTGGGTACGTCATATTTTGTGTTCTGCTTCTATTGTCGTGGGCTGATGCGTCTACATGGAACACATTGATGTAGTTGAGGACGCGTTCAAACTGGAGAACATCCCAACGACAAGCTCCTTGGCCGCTGCCGTACTCAAGGCAATCAAGAACACCCACGCCTACAATCCCCGCCTACGAAATTGACGGCACCCTCTTCTTACCCAGGAACTATTAGTCCAAGCTTCAAGCTTCAAGGTGCGACCTTGATTTTGACGTTCGGGTTAAAACACTATCATATCGGGCACGGTCGGAGAATGTCAGCGGCAGCAACACATACGTCGCAGAATTCATGAAGATCAGGATCGTCGAGGCGGCTCGACCTCACCTTGTTGCCGCCACGAAGAGGAGGCGCGTACTTGCGGAAGATTGTGACGGTCTTTCTGCGCCTGTCAAGCCTCTCGCGTTGCTTGACACCGTCTCTTTCTCTTGTGGTGTGTTGAGATGTCATATATTCCATTCATTTCTATGAAGGTTTTTCTCGGACTTTAATCGTTTGGGGTCTTTCAGAGTGAAGTCACGCACAGGAAGGTCAGGGAGAACTATGTACGGTGAGGTTTTCCCAGGTTGTCTGAGCTCTGACGAAGTTTGGCGGGGTCCGACGAGGTTGGCTGAGGTTCGACAAGCTCTGATGAGCTCTGCCGGGATTTTCTGGGGTTTTCCGGCCGGGAAAACGGGCGCGGACCGGCGACACGCTCGGACGCGCTCGTCGGAGTTCATACAACCTCGTCAAACTTGGTCCTCCGACGTCAGCGTGAACCTCAATCGCGCAAGTCGTCTTTGGTTGGACGAGGTCAGAGCAAATTATGACTCACCAGACTAACCAATATAATTGTATTTAAGCTCGCATGAGCTCGGACGAAGGTATAGCGAGCTCTTCTGAGCTCTTCCGAGGTTGTATGAGATCAGATGGCATATGAGTGCGGTAAGTCGTCCAAGGTATGATGAAATCTGATTTGGTTTGCTGGAGTTTTCTGAGCTCTGAGTTCGTACGCTGAGGTCGGATGAAGTCAGCCGAGGTCGGCTGAGGTCCAACACGGTTTGACGTGGTTTTCCACGGTCAGATGGAGTCGTCACCGAACATAGCTCAGAATACCTCACCCATCAGCAAGATCACACGCGTCTGGACCAGACCACACAGAGGCTCTCCAGACCTTCCAGTACTCCAGGACACTGTCTGTGTCCAGAACAGCGACGGGATTTCAGGTGCCCATCTGGAGGATCTGGAGAGATACATCTCCAGTTGTTCCAATCTCATCACAGACATTCAAAATATGTGTATTCAGTTTATTTGCATGGTGCTACACTACAGCGACATACTTATGATAATAGATATTGATCCCCAACGCAGACCACAACGGCAATGGACCTCTTCGTGGGAAAACTCAGATCGCATCCGCACAACCCCGTTCATAGAAGCCCTGCACACTGAACATTGGCTATAGAACGTTAGCTACTACACGAAAGCAAGGATGGCGTACGATAGGAGCCTCAACGAGGGCTGTGGACATTTACAAGACGGGCCTTGATGCGTTCGAGGGAGACGCCAGGCACAACGAGGCCTGCTTGATCATCTCGGGGCCACTATCACCCTGCATCAAGTCACAGAGCAAGTCAATGGGGTATTCGTCTAGAATACAATGAGCAGTGACTGACCTTCTAGCTATGTTGACTCAGGTTGACGTAGCTGTCATGACCTTTTGTCATTTCCATGCCTTTTCTATTATTTCCTGGTGGGTGCCACAGTTGGGCCACACTTTTCCGAGTTTCTGTGCCACTGTGGCCTGGGTTTGGTTGTGTTTGGTTCTGGCTAGTATATAAACCTACCTACTTCCTGTTTTGTACTCTAGTCTTGAGATCGTCAGTCTCCCCCCTATACAACCTTTTCCTTGCCCTTGGTGTGTGTTTCTGAGTGAGAGATCGCCTGCCAGCAACCCCTCTTTGTAGGATATGGTTGTTCTGGTGTGGTCGTGACAGTAGCCCATCTGCAGACGGAATATGTGGTGAGCCCGCTATGACTTCTATGCTAAGAAAAGGGGTCAGAACACGTACAGTGGCTCGACAATTATCTACGGTCAACAGCTTTGTGTGGATGTAGAACGGCTCGGACACATATCTGCAACAAATGTATCATCGACTGATTCTCCGAGTTGCAAGGGGGTCGTGGGAGCGCAGCGACAGCGACCCGGGTATCGTGCGAAAAACCTTCCTATAAGGGGAACTTGTTACCATATATGGTAATAAAATGACATAGGTAGGTAGCGTCCATCTCTCCGAGAATTTGAGAATGGCTTACAGGAGGGAGGAAAAATCAGCGAAAATGTCAGAATATTCAAAGCGGATATTCTTGGAGTTCCACTAAATGCTCCCCCCCTAAACAATGTCAAACTTTGAGATTCTGAAAAAATCGGGACAATTCATGGCGCCCCAAAAGGCGTCGGAATTCGACATCGTATCCTTTTTTGTCGCTTCGCGACCCCCTTGCTCTGTTGCGTATAAAATCGTACAGGATTCAAAGTTACTATTCAGAATCGATCAGAATGCGACTATATATTCCAAGATGATCCTGGTGAGTCTAGCTCACGGGGATGAACAAGAAAGATATCAATGGCTCGAGTCATAGGGGCGAGTCATGGAATAAATAATAACCAAGAGATAAGTTGTCAGGCGGTTGAATGAGCCTGTACGCCCCTGTACCTTACGGTAATCCTGGACAAGTCGAAGGCTAAAATCGGAACACATCAGCAAGCCATGTTACCATTTGTATGTGCAATAAACCCGGAGTGCTCGATAGGACCTACCAGCAGGAGCGATAATGTCTGTACTAAGCCATATCTGCTGAAGAGCTTGACGGACCCGCAACGGGTGGTTCTCTCTGAAGCGGAACCATCTCTATCTCTCCCTGGCTCCCCCCACCGTAGACCTTATGCGACATTTCAGTGTCTCTCTGCGTAATCACTCAAAGAGCGAGATTCTTACCACTGGGACCAGCGTAGTAATTCTATCCCCAATATCCGTCGTCTCCGAGGCATCTGCCATATTTCCATCCGGTCCAGTATCGTCACCGTCGTCGAATTGATTGTTCCACCAGTCGGGGTCAAGAGGCTCCCCGATGTTACCGAGAAAGCGGTTTTGAGCAAACGCAGGCTCTCCTAAAGCACTGTGGTTTGAAACGGAGGCGGGTGGAAGGTTCCAGGTTCGAAGATTCAGGTATAAACGGTTGACGAGTAGATTCGGAAGCCTGATAGTTGTGTAAACGACGTGAACGTTGACATAGTATCATCATGCAAAAGAAGAGTTGCAGCTTACACTGAGAAGTACGGAGTTAGACTGGTCGCCAACAGATACACAGCCTCGGAAGTGTTCTATCCGCATTGGACATGCAATCGACATTTGTGAACAAGAGGGCAGTGTGACTTACTTTGTTTAATAAAATCTAATGTGTCAATTTGAGTGACGATACCAATATATATGTGAAATGCGTACCAAATCAAGAGCAAGATCTGCGGCCGAGACTGCGAACACAACACTATGGTCCATATAATCAGCGTAGTTTGAAAGCTAATATGCATAACTTTGAATGTGTCTCGTACAAAAAGTAGAAAACCCCTAATCATCTGTGAGCACCATAGAGGCAAGAGAAACAAATATGGAGCAGTACCGTCACGAAGGAGAAGCTCAGTGATGCTTCTTTGTTTGAGCTCACGCATTTCCTTAGCCTGGTGGTATGTTTTGAAAAGTGTTATTCCGAACACATACGAGTCGAAAAGGAGAGGCATAACGACGGTTACGATACTGGCTGCGCCAGATACATTATCGAAGGGTTGACTTCAGTTACTTGATCATGGGTGTTCACATCTGGTTCACGTACATCTTCAATTCGTGTTCGCGTCAACGTGAAGGGTACCATAACGACATTCTAAAAACTCACCGATCAAAAGAGCCTGGGTTAGACTCCTCTCCACAAATTGAAAACACATCATATTGAGTGCCTCTCAAGGATATTCCCACACTGAGAGTATATGACTGAGACCATGGGATGAACCAAGGATGAGCGATTTCTTTCGCATGCACCTCAGAGTAGGAGCTTACCCAAGTGTCAGCAGCGAGTCTGGCAATTATCATGATCAATGCTATGGTAATAATAACTTTGCTCCGGCCACACAGGGCATAGATTCTCAGGCTGAACAATACTGAGAATAATAAATCAAACAGATCAGTACTTATCATAAATTGCATGAGCTGTATTTGCTTGGCACTGACGGTTTGTAGTCACAAGTGCAGTGATTGACAGCCATGAAAACGCGATATAGATAGAGCTACAACTGACAGGCACGTAACTGAAACATCAATCGATGTGTTTGTTGGATGCAAGCTAGGTGAGAACTTACGTGCTATTAGATGCAAAACCGGGCATCTGAGGTATAAGAGTAACAATGAGGTTTGCTGCAAATGCATAGCGGTTCACAATGAAGATCATTGCAGTCCCTGTTATTCTCCCTTTCCAGACGGCCTCAATCTCCATCGTGAGGGTGTCAAAAAAATCAACTAGCCATAAGGCTACAGAGACAAAGATCAACTCGCGTTTTGCGATGAACCTCGAGAAGAAAATCACGAACTCATTGCAGATAGATTTGTATAATCTCCTATGACCCTAGAGCGCGCTACTTATCAGAACAATGTATGATATTTATGTCTTGAATATGACCCACCATAACCGGTCTTCGAGGATGATCTGCTGCAAGAGATCTGCCGCCGAGGACATGGCAGGGAAAGTATTGTACTCAAATGATGGGTAGGCATCCCGAATCCTACGACTTTTATATGTATTCAGTGCTTCTCACGAAAACCTCAAACAACGAGAAACGGCAACACCCCAAGATCCGGTTGCCAGTGTCGCAGTCAGCAACATCAAGACAACTAAAAAAAATCGTTCAATTGAGTTCTAAAACATGTCTCACCAGATTGATCTACAAGCCAGCGCCTACAGCAGTCAATACAAAGGCAGAATCAATCGTCTCATCTATACCTGGCGCGTTTCGTCTTCTGTTGGTCAAGATAAGGCACTAGATAAAGGAGAAATTTCCGAGTGAATTAACTCAACGCTCGCCCCCTTCTCCATAACTCCTTGTACCTCTGCAGAGGTGGACGTTCTACCTTCCATACTACCACCAAAGTAGACTTACTGTAGCACGCACCCTATGAATGGCACAAACAACGACAACAACGACAACAACGACAACAACGGCTACAGCGAGAAGGGAAAATGCGAATAGAAGAATTTGGAGGGGAAAGGTGGCAAAAAGGAAGAACAACCCGAGAACGGACTAAGCTACGACGCCTGCACGAACCATCCACTTACAAGTCCAAAAAACCTTTTCTGACACAAACTCAGAGTTATGTGTATATAGTCGCGCAGATAAACTCTCAAGCATGTAAAACCTTGTTCAAGGATAACCGACTGGAAAATGTCAAGGCCTTGTCCGAACAATAATCGAGGACTCTTCCTCAGGGGCTCTACAAGCAGCTCAATATCTCACTATATTACGAGAAATAAACTTCGTCTTGCTCTCATTCAATGCATTCGAACCCAGTGAGTGACGGTGTCTGCAGACAGCGTGCTTGTAAGTGTGCGGTAGATTCTCCACATGAATGTAATGTGTGCATGTTCGGTGGATGCTCGTCCCCGCTGCTATTCGAGCACAGGGGACCTCGTCGTACAAATATCTAAAAACTCATTCCATTCTATAACACGATTGCAATACCGAAACTGTTCTTACCTGTCAGCCGCGCAGCGCCGCCGGGTACCATGTTTGATAGATGGGATCCCAGAGCGGGATGGAGCAGGGTATTAATAATACGCTCGATGGCGAAGTAGGTTGTGTTTCTGTAGCCGTGCTACAAGTTAGACGTTAATGCGAGCTTGGGTGTCTGATAGTCGGAAAGGTGAACAAGTATAACTTGTGCCAGGATCCATTGGGACAGACGTACCGATCAAGGCAAAGCTTCTGCTCCGTTCGTAGTGCCGCTGAGTGTGCAATTCAGCTGAGCTAACCGATCAATCTCGCCTAAAACAAGCTCTCCGTATCCTGTCCTGGAGTCGATGTTGGTCGCGGACGCTACATTGATTTCCCGATTTTGAACTGCGTCCAGAAGCCCCAACACGATCCGCACTCATTCGAGTAGCGATCATCTCGGCACTCTCCGCAGCACCACAATCTATCTCGATGCTCTTCGTAACGAACGTTGGGAGTGGAAGTTGCAGCGATGTCAGTCACGGTGAGGGTCGATATGAGCCCATCTCCACCACAGCATGAAATTCTTACGGTTCATCTTTCTCGTTCATCATTCTCACCTCATCTAGGTTCATCGTCAGGCTTAAGTAGTATCATCACAACGAAAAGTCGAGACGCGAGCTTGATCATCCCGTTAAGTGAGTTAAGTGGTAGCATGGCCAGATCGCACACCCAAATTTCCTCCCTCTCGCTGTGAGGATGGTGATATCAGAATGGTGGATTCAAGCCAGTAAATTGTATAATCAACTCAACTTGCTGAACAACATAGTGACCATCAAAGGCTCAAGCGGGTAAAACATGCCCCACGACACCTTCGCCCTTATCCCCTCCTGCAACCGCACTCTCGTACTCCGTCTCATTCGTCGTATAGAAATGGTCCGTCCCCTGTGCATTATAATTCCTAAGCAGCGGGATACTCCCGCACACTTGACTCGGATATATCCAGGCCTGCACCGCCTCGAATGTGAACCCATGGGTGTTCACAGCCGTGTCCAACTGCGCCGCAGAGGCGGTGTAGAAGTGGTCCGTAGCGGTGGAGCTGTAGAGACGATAGAGCGGCTCCGAGTCGGTGATATTGGACTGGGAGGCGAGGACGTTGCCGGTGACACCTTGGAAGACGTAGCCATGGTTCGTGACGGCGTTGTTGAGCTGTTCGGACGAGGTGGTATAGTAATGATCGATGGCGGAGGCGGAATACGCCCGGTAGAAAGGGGTCAACGAGGTGCTGGGGTCGCAGGCTTCATCGGCCTGGAAGGAAGATAGATATGACCAAGTTAGAATCTTTGAGACATAGGTCTCAATGTCAAAGAATATACCTCATTAGCACGAACGGCGCGTCCATCAGCAGGGATAGCGGTCGCAATGACATGAGAGAAAGAAACTGCAGCAGCAACAAGAGCGAAGAGAGTATTCATCTTGGAGTGAATGTCGCTCTAGAGATAGTGCTCGTTAGAGCTACTGGACAATTTTCAGCGATATTTATACTGCAAGACCATCAAGGCTTCCTACGGCCCATGGTCTCACATCGACAATCCGGGTATCGGAGTTTCATAGCATGGTATGGCTAAGAGCCTGCTTCCATGTAGGCACATAGCCTGGCTCTCAATTAAGCGTTCGCGGCGTGATTGAAGTAGAAGACGTAGGCCAAAAATCGAAGCATGATCTTCCCTACTTCGTCATGGATCTTGCCCATGATTATCACGCATCAGACTCTCTATTTCCGAGACTTGAGCATGGAAGCAAGATATTCGGTGGTTCAGTAGATCTCAATTCATGCATCGAAGAGGCGAATATATAAAATGTGATGTTCATCAAGTGTAGGATCCCATGACCATCATTTCGTCTATGCGAGAGACGGGGAAGGCAATGCTCCGTGCAAATCAGAGAACAAGAAGGATCCGCGCTCTAACGGCAAGCATATTATAGCCTCCCAAACGGCCGGAGAGAGTAAGTAGGCATCCATTCCAATGCCTGTGAACATCGGAGGAAAATCATCTCACACCGAGTCACAATCCCTACGAGGGTGATGCCGAGAGTCAAGATGCAGATGCGTTCTCAAAACGGGTTTCCCGATGTCCCATGCTAACAAAGCAAACGTAGGACAAGGCGAGCTTGAAAAGCGAGTACGCTTTTCCGATGCCATAGAATATGCATGTCCGCCGGCACATAGTACCATGTCGGAAAAGCGGAAGGTACTTCACCCAAATGAGGGGATATGTCGGCTCTCTGTGATATATTTACGACGTACCTTCTAGTGGCAGTTCAATTCTGGACATAGATGATGAATCAGTGTAAAGATATTCGCTAAGTGAGCATGCTCACTCACCAGCATATCGTGAGTGCGAGTCCTGGGGCGTGTTCGAATTCCCGAGGATTGTTCGTTCGGGCTGGAGGCGCAGAACTGAAGGGCAGGGTGAATCGGAGAATTCCATTCATGAACTGTGGAGAAATCCGTGATGAAGAAGACAATAAATGCAGACGAATAAGTTACAGAGCAAGCAAGTTGGTATCTGGTTCAAACAAAAAAGCAGAAAGCGAAAACCGAAAAGAGAAAGGGGAAAAATGCAAAAAAGGAGCGTTCATTCACGCCCGAATCGCGTCAGTCAAAAGATCGTCCAAAGCCTGCAAGCGTAAATCTCCATCAGCAGTCCGGCAAAAGATTTAGAAAAAAGTGGAGACCCACCTTATCCATCTCCTCCAACCCTCTGAATGTCTCCCCATAGATCTCCCTCACGTCCGGATGCAACGTCCCCAAATCAAACTCCCTCCCAAACAACAGCTCATCCACCGGGTCCATAGCCGGCAACGGCTCCGCCCGTCCCCTCGTGCCCGCATACTCAATGATCGCCATCATATTCGACACCCCAAAGTCGTCCTTCGGGATCACTGGACGCGGTCTGTGCGGCTTCGGAGTCGAGGTCGACCGGGTGGGTAAGGGCTGGGAGGAAGGCATGGGAGAGCCGATAGCGGTGCGGTAGCCCGACATGTCGGAGACGACGGAGGTGAAAGAGGGCGCGCGACCATGCGGCATTCCACCGCGTACGGTGGACGTTGTTGAATTGGGCGTGGCGGACCTCGCACGCCTGGGATCATGGTTCGTAGGCGTCGTATTCCTCGACAAGCCAGAGTCGGAGATCGGAGACGTGACTCGCGGCGTATCCGACATCATGCTCGACTCGTGTGACATCGAACCAGGACCAGTCGGTGTAGTCGAACGAGGCGTCGTCTGGCCTGGAGCTTGTTCGTCGTCGTCGGAATTAGTGTATGCGCTGTCCGTAGACGCGGCCGAACCAGGAGGAGGAACGCCAGCCTCCCTCGCGCCCTTGATCTTGCTCAAGAACCTATCGAGGTTCTCGCTGAAACCCTCCTTATTGCGCGACAAAACGCCCTCGAGGAGATCGCTCCGGCCCGCGGGCTCTTTCTCCTGTCCTCCCATGTTCTGCCACTCCTCCTCGACGATCTGGCTGATATCGAACGTCTCACCGTCCGGTTCGACGTACGAGTATCGCATCCTGTCTTCGGTCTCATAGCGCGAACTACGGATGAGACCAGCGTTCCCTGGGAGCAGAACGTCTACTCCACGCAGCGAATTCGTCTGTGCGGACAGTATCGCTCGTTGATTCGCCCGCGTGGCAGCGCGCTGAGCAGCGATGAGCTCCTGCTTGGACAAATGCCGCTGCTGCTTCGGTTCCTCCGCCGTCGCGTCCGAAGCGATACTCGAAGACGTCGAGTCGCGCTGCATGTGCATCTTCTGCAGCGCGATCTCGTCGAGAGGAGCGCTAAGCCTGTGTCTTGAAGATGAGGCACGATAGGTCGTCGCACGGCGGAGGATAAACGTCGGGTCGTCCGCTGGAACATCTTCAGGGGAGCCCAGGAGTTGAGCAGAGTCGATCGAACGCCGTTTAGTGTCGCTGAAGCGCTTGTCCACTGCACGATAAGTCGGAGCTCGAGGGTACGCATCAATGACGCGGCTCGAAGGCGAAAGCTCTCTGTCTTCTTCTGCAGTTTCTTGTTAGCAGACTGCACTCAAATAGACCAAAGGGAGAAACAAACCTCTGCCATCGACATTGATATTCAACGCATACCTCACCCTCTGCGAACTCCTCCTCTTCGACAGCTTATCCTCAACCTCATCCCCCCCATCCACCACACCCTCCACGATCCCAAACCTATCCAGCCCAATCTCAATGACCTCCGCGACCGTGATATTCTTCGGGAACACGAACACCTTCCTTCTATACGCCTGATTAATCCCGCTCGAAGACGAAGCGCCCGCGCTCCCTCCCCGCTCGCGCAGCGTATTCTTGAACACGATGGCCTCCGTAAGCGGGTCGAAGACCATATCGTCCGGGAGGTCTTCGGGGTATATGACCAGCTTCAGCGCGAACCTCGACGAAGGCGACATGAACCTCTCGGGCGGGACGCCACTCACGTTCCCATTTCCAGGTAAATTGAGATACTGTCCCTTCGGCGACAAACCGTCCTCGTTGTCGCCGTCGAGTGTCTGCGCCATGAGCGTGTCCTCGCCGTCCTCCGTGCCCATACTATCGTCCGCCCCCCTCCTGTTCAGATAAAACTTGACCGCCGAATCGTCCGTGAAATCGTTCATGGGCAACTTCTTGATCGCCGGATGCATCGACAAATTACTCGCGATCGAGCTAATACTCCCCACACTGCTCCTCTTCACTTTCGGTAGCTCGAGCGCGGCCTCGACGAGCGTCTCAAACACCTGCAGCGGCTGCTCCTCGTCCTTCAGCACGGCCGACGAGCCCTCGAGTTGCTTCACCGTCAGATAATAGTCGTTCGCGTCCTCGCCCGCGGGCAGCCTGAAGCGCTGAATCGCCTGCCGGACGAGGTCGGCGGAGGTCGTCGAGCTGTTGAGAAGCACGGTCTTGAACGTCGCCTCCGTCTGCAGTTTCTTCCCCGCGAACACGCGGATGACGCTCAGCTCGGGGACACCGACGCCCTGGCCCTCCATCGCGTTCTGGAGGACGAGCGAGCCAGGCCGGGGACGCCTGCCCTCGGACGGGACGGTGAGTCCGGTGTTGGATGAGCTCATGCTTCCGAAAGACATCGAGCTCTGGACAACGGGGGCGGACTGGAGCCCGAAGGAGGGCTGGGCCTCGGGCGGGGACGATGGCGAGCGGTTGAGGTACTGCTGGTATAGCGCCTGCTGCTGTTGATCCCGCTGTCTGAGCGAGACCGCATGCTGGCTGACCGGGCTCTGCTGCATCGACCGTGCCGCCTGGTCCTGTCCTGCTTGAGGAGGCGTCCCCGGCGACGACCTCGCCTGTATCTGCATCTGCATCTGTTGCTGCTGCTGCTGTCGCGCCATGTTCGTCGTCGGCGAGCTATCCGAATTCTGCCCGTGCTGCATACTACCCGACCGTCCCGACTCCTCTGAGCTACGCCCAATATCCATCAAGCCCGTCTCCGCGCTGGAGGACGACACCGACTTCTCCTTATTCTTGTCCTTGTCCTTCTTCCGCCCAAACAATCCACCGAACAAACCCCCACGGCCCTTCTTATCCTCCTTCTTCGATCCGTCCTCGTCTCCCGATTCCGGCGCCGACTTTCTCAGTTTCCCTCCAGCACTGGCGGCCTGGGATTGAGCCTGGGATTTCGCGAGTGACGCAGACGACACGGGTCCCTGCCCGACGTTCGCCTTGGCCCTCTTACGCGCCTCGACCTCCAACGCCTCGATCTCCTCCCTCGTCCTCTTCCTGTCCTCCTCCTGCTTCTGCATAACCACACTCGGCAGCATCGGTCCCCCATTTGCACCCCCATTGGCGTTGGCATTGGCGTTGGCACCATTCGATTTGGGGCTCACGTTCCTCGGCTCAGTCACAATCGCATCCTCCCGAGCGATATTCGGCGTCACGCTGACCTTCCGCGTGTCCGTAACCTCTGCCGGATCGAGCGGTGGTCTTCCGTTCGGCGATATCGAGTGCGAAGAGGCGGACGCGGAAGTGGAGTCGACGCGGTCGCGGGAGTTCGAATCCACTCGTTCGCGGGAGGGGGATTTGCGTAGGGAGAAGGACCCTCCCGAGCCCGACTGGCCTGCAGCGGCGGCAACGGCTGCGTTGACGGCTGCGAGACGCGCTTTTTCGTCTTGTTCCCTCTGGTGTTGTTGTTGCTGCTGTTCCTGCTGGGCTAGCATCTGCTGCTGCTGCTGCTGTTGTTGTTGTTGACGAAGCTGAGCCTCTTCCGCCTGTTGCCGCTGCACCGCCCTCATCCTCCCCACCTCCGCCTCTCTTTCTCGTTCCCGCCTCTGCTCCTCTAAAGCCCTCTGCTCCTCCGCCGCTCCATCCTCCCAACTCATCCCATCGTCCGGCTCCATCGCATTTGGCCCCATCCCCCCTCCCATTCCACCCATTCCACCCATTCCCCCGCTCATCAACATCTCCTCCCCCATCTCCTTCCCCACCACTCCCTCCCCCAACCCCGTCCCCGCCCCCGTTCTACCATACCCATACCCATAATCCTCGACCAAACTCGGATCCTCGTCCTCATACGCCTCGTCGTCCCACTCCCACTCTTCGCCCTCGCCTTCGCCGTCAGACGCGAGCATGTCCTCGGCGGAGCCCCAGACAGCGGGGGGGTAGCGGTGTACAGAGAGGGAGGGGGTGAAGATGACTGAGCGGCGGGGTTTGCCTGCTGGCGAATGGGATTGGAGTTGGCCTTGTGAGTTGGAGTGAGATTGTCCTGGGGCGAAGCGAGCGTGGGGGCCAGAGGGAGGGATAGGAGAGGGCGATTGACGGTTCGAGCCTTGGCGGGAGGACATGTTGTTTCGGAAATGGTCGCGGGATTCTTGTAGGCCGTTTTGCATCTCTGCTTGGGTTGCGGAGGCGAGCTGTGTGTTTGTGAACGTGGAGAATGGAATGGAGAGCAGAGGGGGGAGGTGGTGGAATGGTGGGATGGTGTTGGTGTTGGTTAGTATGGAGGCACACGACGGATGAGATGGTAATTGAGGCAATGAGGAGATTGAAAAATATGCGAAGAATATTATCCAATGCTGCAGGCAGCAGTAAGAGAGCTTTTGTTTGATCGTCGCCCTCAGCCTCGGGCAAGACCATTGATTAATGTAAGAGCATACGAAGAAAGGCGAGACGTTATTCCGAGGATATATACCGTATACTCTAAGCATAGCAGCGTCGACTAGACTAACGGTATCGCTCGATGTGACAACACCTGGTATCGAGGAACTGTCTCTGGCCACTGCATGCACACGCCTCGCTGGAAGGCATCAAGAGCGCACAAGTCGAGCTCAAGCCCAAGCGGATAATCACGCAACGCAACCCCACACCAGCCTCCACGAAACAAAAATCCACAACAAACACGAAGAAACAAACTCACATCAACATTCCGATGCTTATTCAACCTCGCCAACCTCTCAAACGGCGTCTCGATATTCTCCGCCGGTATATACCCAATCTCCTGCGTCTTCAACACTCTCACCAACCACCAGTAACTATTCGAATCATCCATCAGCACCAAACTGTCTCCCTTGACCACACTCGCCTGGCCCTCGACCGTCGCCGCAAAGCTATGCAACGAATAGACCAAGTCAAAGTCGATGGACTCGTTGGGGATGGAGAGCGAGGAGGAACGGTCGTCATCGTCGAGGTACTCTTCGTGCTCGCCTTCTTCGGAGTCGTCTTCGAGCACGGAGTGTTCCTCGTCGGAGGGGTAGTTGTCCCCTGTACCTGAGGACGCCATCTGCTGCTGTTGATGCGGTTGGGGGTGTTGGTGGTGGTCGTCCGTGACGATCTGGTCGCGGAGGTCAAACGTATCCTGACGACGCGGATTGCGCCTGTCCATGTCGCGTATAGGGTCCGGTACGTACTACGTATACGACGGAAACGAGAAACGAAATGAAATGAAATAAAGGAAGGAACGGATGCGTGCCAGGCGCGGATGAGGACGAAGATGGGCTGTTGCTGCGTGGCGGTGCAGGCGCTTCTTTCGTAGATACTACTCTTTTCGAACTCCGATGATGTGGCCCATCTTTGTTGGTTGGTCCCTCTGGCCAATCCATTCACGTGCCACTAGGTATTATTGGAGAACGCAAGTTTATACGGTGAAGAGTATGCTGGAATAGAGATGGACTGCGTTTGTAGAAATATTGGCATCCATATGTGAGTACTCCGTCAATATCATTATCGATATCGGTCAACGCTGATCTCCATCATGTCCTTTCCTTCATTGAGTCGTGGGCAGCCCTAGTAAGTCAGGATCCATCTGTGCAGAATCATAGCCTGATTTACCCGGATGGGCAGATATTTGACAGTACGAAGGTATGTCTTTCAACAAATGAACACTCAAGTACGCTTATACATCTGTATTTTATGACTTCTCTTGAGGAATCCCACCTACCAAAGTTACTGATCGTATTCCATGAATGTTGCATACCCAAACGCTCTGCCGATGAGAAAAACGCAGCATCTCCCATGCAAAACCTCCTCCTCACCACCTCCAGCCGCTCTACTGACGTTGGCACGGTCGTTTATCCGCGCTGAGTCAACTAAAAGATCGTTCTGATCTTTCTGCATGATGTTGCCTGCGCGTACTCACCCAATCTGAACCTGCATGACGTCTACCGTCTAACTTTGTGCAGCTCATATCAGACCTAATCCGCGTTTCATAGTTGTCTTGGCGAATCCTTCTCCGAAGGCATGACACCTAAAAGCCGTTCTCTATACGCATCTTCGTCTTGTCGCCGCTCTGGTGTGAGCACGGTTTCTTGAGAGGGGTCAATGCATTCAGTGTGGGTTGGTCATCCTCCGGTGATCGCAGGCACCGGAATATACGCCCGCTGAGTTTTATATTTGGCACGGCTGCTTACATAAATCGCTGCAGTATACTTAAAAGAGAGTAAAGGTTTTTCATTGATCCTTTCGGATACTCTTACTTCTTTCCCCTGAAGCGATGGCAAAATGCACTCGTTGCTGTTGAATGGGCTATGGCTGTTGTCTATCGTCCAATTCAGGTTCAGTTACTTCCAGGAACAAGTCGCAAAAAGCAATGTGGAAGATGACGACTATGATTGTCAAGATCCATGACAATCGCGAGAAGATCCTGTTTCAAGGTTCCATTCTACTGAAGAGACTTCACTTACAGAGTCAGCAGTCGTTGGCTCGGATGATCTGCGTGGATGTTAGGAGGCAAATCTAATTAGGGACACCCTTTTCCTTAAATTGACTTTAAGCTTCACCTTCCGGATTTACGGTGGGCAACTCAGATCACAATACCTAGTTGTTAGTATAAATGCTCACAGACTTTTCCGTCCCTTGTCTCCCAGGTCTCCAACAAGCAGCATTGCCAGAGCGATCATTACTCCAAGATGAACACTTTCTTCGCTCTTGTTGTTATCGCAGCATTTTTCTCCCAGGTCATCGCGACCACTATCCTAGCGGTTCGTGCCAGTGAGGTATGTATATTTGACCTGCTCTGCTCAGTCAGATATCTAACTAGAAAGCTTTCTTTTGGGATTCCTGCAGGCGGCCGAGACCTGCGAACCCAGCTCCTCATTCACTCCTCTCTACCGAGCGTATTCGGCCTCGGCGATAGACCACTTCTACACCACATCTGCTTCAGAGCTGAACACCGCCGTCTCCAGCCTCGGATACACCTTCGAAGGCGTCACCGGCAACGTCCTCGTCTCCCAGTCCACCATCACCGCTTCTGAGCCGCTGTATCGCCTCTATAGTGGTAGCGCGACAGACCATTTCTATACCACCTCTGCAGCGGAGCTCAGTACCGCGGTCGGTAGTAATGGGTATACTTTTGAAGGGGTGCCTGGGTGGATATATCCGAGTCAGGTGTGCGGGAGTATACCGCTTTTTAGGACGTACGATGCGCAGGGGACGGATCATTTTTATACGACGAGCCAGGCGGAGTATGAGAGTGTTGTGGCGGGTGGTTTTGCGGACGAAGGTGTTGTGGGGTATGTCTTGCCTGCTTGATATTTCTGTGGTCATTTGCGGAGTGAGTTAATTACACGACTTCGAGTGTCTGAATCGCATTCTAACATGGCACACTTGCCTCAATCCTTCCTGCAGGCTTCTATTGATCCAAACTTTACTGCCTCGCCTCAGACTTCAATCTCTCGACCTTGCTACGCTTTTGGTGCTATGGACGCATGCTTCAATAGCAATTGCTCTGTCGGTGTTCAATATGTTGACTTATAAACCGTCTATCAAACGAAAGCCTACCCAGTTTTATCTTGTCGACTCGTAGGCAGTGTCACGACTCTCCGCGGCGTTTGAACTCAAAGCAAGGACATCTCAGAAATAAACCTAAAATCTCACTCACCTATATTTCATTCAACCCGTGAACCACCTTGTGGGACCACGCCTTTCCCATTGACCTCCGCCATATCTACTCACGAACCTCGCTCGAGCTTTCCTCTGCACTGCGCTGTACGCCAAGTCGCGGGATTTAGCCCAGATTAGGCTCGTTCCCTCCTGATTAGCAGCCCATTCGGAGGGTACAAAACTTCTGATGGCTAAAGCCGTTTAGGGCTAACGCGCCCTCGTTTACTACCCCACATTAGGAGGTCTTAGGACGGGAGTGGTTTCCTGATGGTGTATACATGGTGTGTACTGTCTGCAAGTCTTGATTTTTTGTGGATTCTGAGTTGAACGCGAGGCGATATCACGTAGACTCAGAGATGTTGTTTACGAGGACGAGAGAGCAGTACCAGTTGTGTCTGTGAAATCTCGGCAATCCTGACGTTCAGACTCAATTGAACGGAACGCACCAAGTGGTTTGCATGTAGGGTCGCTAAGTAAGTGACTACAGAGGGAAGCATCCCAATACATCTCCGACGATTGCATGACTTCTTCTTTTGCTATTACCCGTTACCAACTCAGACATCCCTAGCTTCCCCGGTAGTATAGCTCGGCGGGCCAACCCCCTGCAACACTTGCAACTGCCCAATCTCGTCCCGAAGCATCATGATCTGATCATGGAGATGTCTGCCCTCTCCGTCGCTTACGCCCGACCTCGATCTCCCGCCGCGACCAGACGAGGTAGGGGAAGGTGAGGAGCCGCTGGACTCCGAGCCGTGAAGATGGAGTCTGAGAGGTCCAGGTGTCGTTTGGGGGGATACAAGCTCGGTGGCTGAGTTGGTGGTCGTGCCTAACGATCTCATGCTCGGTTGCGTGGTGAGATTAGGTAGAACGGGCTGTTGGGCTTCGATGCGAGCCGAGGAGTTGAAGGACTGTGGTTGGCCCTTGGTCTCGCCGACGATGTTGGTATTGTCTGCAGTGAATGCCGTCGAGATGAACGGTTCAACTCTGAGAGAGGGATCGCTACCAGTGAAGGGGACCGCGTCGCCAGCCGATATGCGTCTGCGGCGACGCAGAATAAAGAGGAGTGCGAGTAGGAGCACTATGGCTCCGACTAGACCTCCGATAGTGCCGCCTACGATTGCGCCAACATGAGAGTGCTCTTGGGACGGTGGTGGGGAGGTACTGGTAGCAGTGGCGGAAGAGGCTGAACTGCTTGTGGGGTCGGTGTCGACTCTGTATACCCCACGTAACGAAATATCGTCAATAGAGATTAAGAAAGGACACGAGGACACGTACGTGTAGATGGCATAATCGAAAAGAACAAGTGACGCGTTTGTTGTTCCAACAGCGCTCAGGGACAATGTATGTTGCCCGTTCGATAGAGTGTCGTTGGCGTAGATGGGGAAATTGTAGATGAAGTCGGTGCTTGTGGTAGGCGTGTAGACGAATTCACCGACATAATCTTGGTCCAGGGAGATAGACACATTCATTGGTGGGGCGTCCAAAGGGCCAATCGTATTTCCCAGGATACAGTAGGCGTAGATGGCGACACCTTTAAGAACCCATTTGGTCAGAAGAACAGGTGTAAAAGAAAGGGACATACGCACCACTAAAGAATAGGTCTACACGAGGTTGGTTGGGATCGGGAGGGATGTGCTCTGTGTCATGCCAGGTCCCGCCGTGAGCGAAAGATGCGTTTGGATGAGCCGCGCATGCTGTTGTGCAGGTGGAGCCTTGGTTCCAATACGAGGCGGGGGTATACTGGGGCAAAGTACCGGTGACTTCATCGCCAGTCTCGTCATCTATAGTGTGATTCACGAGACTAGCGAGGACGCCGGGTATAAGGTGATGGTACCATGTTTGTGCGGTCACTAGTAGGACGATCGCGGTGAGAGTAGGGGGTTTCATGGTGCTCCGACTCGGAGAAGGATCCAGGCTGAGGGATGGGCAGTGGCCGGCACAGTTAATGTATGCTAAGGGTCGTAGTTGGGAAAAAGATACTGATGGCATCTTTCAAGGGACGAGAATATCCTCTTTTAGCTTCTCTCGGATGAATCATCTCGACATAGAGGTGGTCTGTCTATCGCCGCTTCGATAGAATACGGAAACGCGGAGGAAAGGGGAGTGTAAGGAACGCCATCATCCTATAATCGAATCTTGTCATTTTTTCAACAATGCGGAAGAACATTGCTGGAGTCCTTATGTGCTTAATAAAGCCGGGGACAAGCTAGGGAGTGGACTCGTTTGCTGAGCAGCGAACAATCAAGAAAGCTGAACAGCCAAAAGAAGCACCGATATTGGGACTCAATAGGTGGGAACTAGATAGACCGTTCATCAATCTAATCGCCGGAACTCAGGTCAGGTCGATGGTTTAGGTACAAAGGAGAGACCAGCTGATCAACAGATGCATATGGGGGATCCTCCAAATAAAAAGCTCTGCAGAGATGCCAGACGAGAATACACGAAACGAACTTGTGAAGTGGCAGAGATAACAGCCTTGGGGCATGCCCCATATCAATTATAAGCGTGGTGTTAGAGGCCTGAGCGAAAGCACCGAGGAAGTCATTTTCAATAGTCATACCCTGTGAGAGGACTATGGGAATTGCTTCTACATAAACAAAGACATCAGAAGCGAGAACAAACACCTGAAGAACGCCTACCGTGCATATGCCTGATTGTTTCAGAGAGCACGAGATGATGGATATCAACGGCTGCCAGATGATCAAGTGCCGCTTGAATATTGAGCCTGCAGCTCATCATAAGAAGCGTAGCGTTGACAGCAATTTGCAGAATCGTAGTCGCAGTCGCTTTTTTCTGCGATGGGGCTTGCGGCTTCTTCTGACGCAACCGACTCCCATAACAGGTTGTGAGCGCCACGACCACCGTCCTCTGGCGGCGGGCCACCCTCCACTGTAAAGCAATGTTTCGAGATATCTCCATCTCAAAAATTGTACAAGTGATTCTAGTGTGTTGTTGACACACTCACAGTCCTAAAACCCAATATTTAAGTGGCGCATCGAGGCTGGCTCGAGGACGAGCACTGTGGCCCCGTGTAGAGTGGCCCGTCGGAATGGCCGGAGACAACTCCGAGTGGAGCACAGGCTTCTCCGCGAGAAATCTGGGTGCGACTACGATTCTGCAAACCGCTGGAACGTAATTTAGGGAAGTTCCTCAGGTATTGTCCACCGTCCCAGGGAAATCTTGCTGTATCCCCTCGGTCAGATCTTTAGCTTGAGAAAGGACGCTACGCGGAGTGACGAACGAGATGAGGACCATGTCATGGGGTACCCTTCATATTTAAGTAGTAGCCGATGTACTTGGATGTTTTGAACCAGCGAAAGAACTCATGGGGCTGTCGCGGATCCGGAACGAATACCGATACATACGCGGAGTGCTTTGATCGTGTCGCTCGATGGCTACGACGAAGTCAGCCGGCAGTATTGTTTCGAGCCTTCTAGCAGACTGACTTACAACGGAATATATGCGTACTATAAATTTTCTCTCTGGGTAAAAATTGAGCCACATAGACCTACACATACCTCATATATGCGAATATCTTGCCAGATTCATCAGGTTCTCGCTGATAAATAACCACTCATCGAAGCCAGACGCCCTGTTATCGCTGTCGATTCGTAGATCCTAGCATTATTTACACGGCTTTTACCCATCAAAAGGATATAAAGTTAGTAACGGAGGAGAAAATGAGGGATATCAGCACAGAGTGTCTTTGCTGTTCGTGCACGATGCGTACTGACGACACGTTCGTAGGATTGACATCACAGGATCACGTTTGGGACCTCTCTTGACCTGTGATTTCATCACTATCAGTAAAAAAAACCCACAACTGCAACGCATGGGAATGTCTTCAGGCGGAAAGACCGTGCACGGATGATGGCCATGGCGGATGTGAGGGTTATCTTGGCCCTCCGGACCCGCATAGGCCCATTGAGTATCAGAATCGTGTGCGTGAGGAACTGAAAAAAGACATATTGACGTACTTCAATTCACCTTGACGAAGTAGTGGCCATGCGTTGAGCTCATACCAATCAAGAGTCTGGCCGATTGGTGGTTTCAGAATTCACTAAAAAATCAACATTCATAGAAAATTAGGATGGATATGCTGGCGTCCGTCCGTGACCTTTATGTAAATTCGAAGGCGTCACCAGCAACGTCCTCGTCTCCCAGTCCGCTATCACCGCTTCTGAGCCGCTTTATCGATGGTGGTCGTGCGCAGGGGACAGATCATCTTTATACGAGCCAGGCTGAACATGAGAGTGTTGTGGCGGGAGGTTTTGCGGACGAAGGTGTTGTGGGGTATGTCTTGCCTGCTTTAGATTTCTGTGGTTATTTGTGGAGCGAGTCAATTATACAGCTTCGAGGGTCTGAATCACATTCTAACATGTCACACTTGCCTCAATCCTTCCTGCAGGCTTCTATCAGTCCAAACGTTCCCGCGTCAGACTTCAATGTCTCGACCTTACTACGTGTTTGGTCGTATGGATGCATACTTCAATAGCAATTTCTTTATCAGAGTTCACTGTGTCGGGTTGTCGCACTAGTCTCTCTAATCGCACGAGTCAGAACGGCCCGTTCTTTCGTAGTAATAGAATCGGAACATCTCAGAGTGTAGATCAGTTGATAGCAGAATCCTGAACGACAATTTTGGTAAATTTGGGAACCGGAAGAAAAAAAAACAGATCAAAACGTACCATATCCTAATATATTCCTCTAACACCAACCTCTTCAAACCTTCCCTTCGAGCACCCCATCTCCCGAAAAGTATTCGTCGAGGCAAAAATTGACCCTCCCACCCAAGCTGCGAATCTTCCGTGCGGCGCAATCGAGACATCGAAGTTCCCGGAACTGTGCGCGGAGAGTGATAGAGACTCGAGCTCTGCCCGCATGCGCTCGGCCATTCCAGGAAAGGACATGCTACCACTGGAGAGAACGATGTTGTTGTTGTTGTTGAGGTGAGAGCGCTGCTCGATATGACAGCTCTGAATAGCGTTATAGCTAGGGCGGATGTTGATGATTAGTAAGGTTTGGAGGAAGATGAATACCTGACGATAGAACTGAAACTGACACCATTTCATGGACGCCTTCCACTGGAAGGCCAACGAGAGAAGGTCGAAACAACGCCTCAGGTATCCGTATTCTATGCATCAAGGATGAGATCAACATCTTCGTAACAGACTCTAACTGTGCTCACCGTTCCTTGCCAATAGTAATAGCCTCTCCATCCGGAAGCTCATACGACGCCTCGATCCCTTCCTCCCCAACCTCTCCCTCATAATCAAGTGCAACATAACATAACTTCTCCTTCATCGCCTTCGCCACCATCCTCTCTTGCCTAGTAGTCAACAAAATCCCACGTTCCATCAACTCCCTAACCAAAAAGTCCGTCAATTCATCCCCCGCAACCTCCAGCCTCCTCGTTACACCCTCACAGTCTACCACCCGCCCCTCATCCACAACAACCACCACATTCGTCACCCCCGCACCCGAATCCACCACAACGCCCGTTTTCTTTCCAGCCGCATACAATGCTAATACAGCTCGATTCGCGATATACAGCGATGGGACGCCAAACTGCTCAAACATGATCTCCGCCGTCTTTTCGCGGTCGCGTCGGGCGTTAGGGTTGTAGGGCGCCTCGGTGAGCAGGAGGGGACGTTCCTCGGACGGGATGGAGAGCTTGTCGAAGACTTGGTGCCATAAGAATGGCATTGTGTCGGCGCCGGTGGGATAGTTGGAGAAGACGCCTTGGTGGATTGGGTGGCGGAGCTTGAGGAATCCACGTTTGGCGAGGGCTGTATCACTGGGAAGGCACACGGTCAGTAAAAATCGATGTGGGAGGCATCGGAGGGACGCAGGCTTACCCTGCGTAATGTGTTTTGTACCCAGGAGGGGAGAGTTCTTGCATCTTACGAGACACGACGCCCACGACGGTGCTAAGTAGATCGACAGGTCAGAAAGTGTTGTGTTGACACGGCATTGAGAGATTCGAGGCATACGGTATCACAACATGGGGAATGTCTTCGCCTAACATGCACCACTGTTCAGCACCATTGCGACCATACGAAAGAACAAGCAACTTTACCAGCGACTAGACGAAGATACATTCATTGTGAATACGGCGACAAGTAAACAAGCAAGACATGGTTTACACTCACACCCAGCCTTGCACGTATCAGAGCCGTCATCAATAATCTAGACGGGTGAAAGTATCAGCTTCCACAGCAAGACGAAGATGGAATGTGCAGAACTCACCACAGGAGGTGCGCCGGTATTCGACATCGGTATGTTCAGATCACAGCGAGGAGGATACTTTGCAAAGCGGGTCAGGGGCTGATTAATGATTGACGCGCTTGTGGTTCATATATATACACTGTTCACAGGCGCTTAATCCGAGTCATCGTGAACGTTTACATGAGGTCCGCCTGCATGGCTAAAGCTATTGTGAAATCATGGAGAGGACAGACCCAGTATAGAAGCAAAGTCATAGTCGATAGAAAAAGGGGTTTAGAAACTGGCCCTGATGCCGAAGTCACTTAGAGGAACGAATAAGATCCTCCGATCGCCCAAGGGTAAGGAGGTATTGAAATCTTTCCCGGGTGTATTATGGTCAGACACGAATGCTGAACGGACGACGTGCAGCGTGTCCTGTATGGAGACATAGAGACTACAAGCGAAGACTAGCACACGAGCCAGAGAGTAGACGCACGCATAAAAACAAACATATCGATACAAATAACAGACCTCAGGCCTAGGGACCATCAAGTACAACGTCCATCTCGCTATCTTTACCTGTCCGTGACGAGGAACTGAACACTTCCGCCCCCGAAGCCAACGAATCGATGAGCAGACCCAGTCTCGACGAAGTCATATTGGGCTCCTGTTAATAGCAAAACACCACGGAGTCAGTTTCCGCTGTAGACCTGCGGAGGGACATGAGCTTGGCAAGCGCACCTTCCGTATCTGCTCCAAGTCATCCCTGAATCCGTCCGCCACCGAAGTCATCCAAAACTTCCTGAATCTATCCTTCAAAACCTGCTCATTCTCGGCCGCATTTGGAGCTCCTAAACCAGGCAAAAAGGAAGGTATGGGTGCAGGAGGTGGGGTAGGCGATGGTGATCTTCGTCTCTCGACGCGAGTAGGGATAACTGTGGCAGTGGTAGGGGCCGCATGTCCAGCGGGAGGTATTGGTGGGACATCGGAATCCGAATCATCAGATTCTGAAGAGGAAGATGATGAGGATGCAGATTCCGATGATTGTCGCGTTGGCGCAGGCTTTTTGGAGGAGACCGTTTTCGTTATGGTAATTTTTGCTTCATCGCCGGAGGAGGAAGAGTCGGAAGAGTCGCCAGACGACGAAGACGACGAAGCTACACGTCGCTTGCGTTTCCTGTTACGTTTTCGAGATGGTGCAGCGGGTTTTGCTGGAGGCATGGTGACAGTCACGGTGCAAGTTGATTAATATGCATGAAAATGTTGGAGAGCCCAACTGAGCCAATTGAAGCGGAGTGCTTCCATTTTCGGCGGAGCCCGAAAGAACGACGTTTGGCCACGTCTCTCTTGTCGACGCGGACATTTGTTTCTAGCAGCACGACACAACAATGGACAAGAAAACCGAGAAGTGACGGTATGTGCACCAATGCTGTGGCCTTATCTGCGGGCTGCTCCTTATGAGTGCGTCTTCACTACTCATTGGAAAATTTGCGGAACGATTCTGCACAACACGGCATTCTCTCGACAGCGCTGCATTAAGCCGGGTATTTTTGCCCCTCACAATTCTAACGGAAGCTCTTCTATTGAGCATATAGATTGCTGCAGAATATTTTCAGAAATTTCCAGTTGACGAGAATGCCGCCCGAGGAACATGCGGGGCGCAGATTCTACGCTCTGCAAACTCTCTGTCTTCGAGAAAGACAACGACACCGTAACATTCGCCTGTGAGACTATGAGGCACGGGATGGCAGACTGTAGCCATGACTACAACAGTCTTGCTCGAGGCACATTGAGCAGCTACGATTCAGAGCTTATGCCTGGTCATCATGTCATTAGCTGCCATATTCTCTGCCAGCGATTATGTCGTAGACCACAAGCCGGGTATGAAATTTGATGCACTCTGCAGACGCATACTTTGACTTCAATTCTTCTCGTCCAGCAAGAACTGGCGCCAGTATCCGCTTAGACGTCGGATATGGTGCCTCAAATTCGACTTTATCTGAGTGGGAACCGTCGATATGACAGACCTCAGTTCTATTACACTCAATAGGTAGGGATGTTTTCTCCCCGTTCTTGCTATGTTCACTAATGCACTCATCATATCCAAACGTTCCCAGTCTTCACATTCGCACTGCAGCCTTCAATACCGGGAATGGAAGCAAGAATCTCGGACTGCACCACACGTCGTGATTCATCAACGAGTGGACGACTGGTGAACGACTGGTAGAACCAATTTCGTAGTCTTAACTTCCACTCAGCCCCAGAACGGCTCTGTCAGTGGTCCGGCCGCATAGCCGTCTGATACTCTGTTGCCTCACTTGAACCTCACCCCGCCACGTCGACATGCCCTTCAGAGCACCTTAAAGTTACCTGGAAAGCGGCATGACTGCTGATCACTCGAATTAATCTGTGGAATTCTATACTTACTACCGCCATTTTCCGCATCAAGGCACTTACCAGGGTACGAATGTTCAGTTTGTTCTTAGTCGGCTTTACGTGTACCTGCGTCATGATAACACTGTCAGTTTGTTTCGTGTCGCCTCTTCTACCGCTCAAGCGCTCATGACGCCTATTGCTCCAGGTACTTCGAGCCTTTCACTCTCACGGACGCTTTGATCGTCTTCTCCCGCTGCCAATACGAGAATCTGAGGCTCGTCGTCCCGCAACGTGACCGCAATGAGGTACTTAGGTCATGGTGCTTTTCTAGGACAAGGATGGATCTACGGTATGTTTTGGCGGCGTGTTCAACTGCGCTGAGTTGCTCCGGAAGTATGAATGAATATGAAGATCTTTTTACAGATTATAACCAGCTCACGCACTGCTAATCCGGTGCATAAATCTTCTCTGTCAGTGTACATGTACAGGTCGTACGCGGTGTTCTCCCGCGGAGCTCACCTCGCGACCACAAGCAAGGGCATAAAGTTCACAGCTTTCATCTCGTGACAACAAACACATACACTTACAGTGGCAAAAAGAACGTGGTGGTCATAGATAGGTAGCCTCGGGAATTAGAGTGTTCGGATCTATCCACCCAGTCTCCAGCTCGACGAAAGTCATCGTAAGATCCGTGACTGCCGCTCATGATAAGTGCATCATGAGAGCACGGAAAGAATCGAATCACATCTAGGAATATCGCAAGCAGGCGAGTGCCCTGATAATATTGACATCATTGCCAGTGGCGAATCAAATTAGACAGAAATAATACAAGTACTGCAATACTGCAAAAGTCTACCATACGTGTATAAAGACCTTAACCGGGTCTGGTAGCGCTTCTAAAAATCGATATTAGTGAAGAACCGGAGAGAGAATCATAGCCGGTACGGTCACACTTTGTACAGAAAGTTTCTTTAATGACGGATCATGTGGTTTCCCCTGCGGATATCACGAAAGGAACGGCGTTAGGATCAGTCCGTCGTAATGTACTGATGTCAAGTTTCATGGATGCTGACCTGTTCCGTTCCTTCGCTCAGAAAGTTACTTCTAGGATTGCCATCAATGTGCCTTGAGAGACCCAGGTTACTCCCACCAGGACAAGGTCAGCCCGTGTGACGAGCCGGCCACCTATGGTGATTGGGGTTTCCTACAAGGATTTAATGGTTAGTATGGTGGTCTGAAAGTAGGTGGTGGGATATTTCTTACAGTGAAGGTTTTTTCGACCGCGCAAGCAATACGATAGATGAGCTGTTCGACACTGATAGATTCGCCATCACGGTTGCGCAGATGAATTTGTCTCTCAGTCCTCTGAACAAGGCATCTCGAAGGCTAGTAACACTTATCAGTACTGTAGAATAGCTGGAGAATCAAAAGTTGACAGCTAACCGATATACGAATTTTAACTGTCTTTGACGGCAGAAAAGAGTCCATCGAAATAGTTGACGTACTATGAAGCGCAAAGTCCCTTTGAAGAATACTCTCTACGAGTACTCCGGGCGTCGCGCTTCCGTCACTGTTCTGCCTGACAAGGAACATGGGGTGCGAGCGGAGAACTTCTCGGCCGCGAGCCGCGGAGCCTGGCCAAGGAACAAAAAGATCCTGACGTACGACTCTGTGTTGAGCGACCACATCTGGAATGGAAGAGTGTACTCCGACGATGGGAAAACGGTTGGCGAGCATGGTCAATTGCTCTCGAGCAAATGTGGCAGTTAGAGAGCCTCGATTATCGCCGACAATACACTGAAGAGTGTATGAGTAATCAAAAGAGATTTTCTGTGATAGGGATGCTTTACCTGCATGTTTCTCTATGTTATGGAGGGATACGTGGTCTACAGGCTGCTGATATGTCGGGTAAGGTGACTCCCGCTTCGAGTCTGCACCTTAATATATTCCGCGCGGTGGCCAAGATCGACAGCACCTAAGTCACCAAAAGTAAAACAAGGAAACATCTTTGGACAGCATTGGCCATCGACCCTCTTTGTGAGAAACTTGACAAAAATACAAAGAGCGTAGGTGCGTGAGCGATGTACTCGCTAATCCTTTTGAAGACGGATGATAAAGTTCACAGAGCCGTTAAAGGCTTAAGTGTTATCTGGTTTCCTTCCGGGGTTTTCAAGTCAAGCCTCACTGCATTTGTGATCGTACAGAACTGGGAGATGGATATACCTTCTGAGCCATACCTCGTCAAAATCATGCCGTACATACGGTCATTGTTTCGCCTATAAATAAAGTTTAGTGCGCTGGTCTTTCGTTCTTAATATACGGGTCACGATGATGTTACGGTCTGGAAAGAGCCGCAACCCAAGGCATCGTCTCTAGGAACACAGGCTTCCATTGCGGTCAAGTGAGACAGCCATTAGGGTGTACGTTAGGATATCGAAGTACGCTTGTCATGAGGGCAGAACAAAACCCTGAGAAAGTAAAGGTCGCTTTCGCAAAATCTCATGTCGAGCGCAATAGCTGAAGCGTGAGTGTTGTAGCGTAACGTACAAAAGTGCCTTCGTCCTGATGCACGATGTACAGGCATTGCCCCTAACATTCAGCAATAAGGGGAGAACGGACTGTTATGCCTCAGATTGAATGGACAAGATCCGCGATGCGGTCTGGGGAAGTCAAGGCAGGAAATTCCCACTGAAAGATAGGAAGGAAGTGCGATGCCCACGCCGCTTCAGCGAGGGGCACCACTTACCGGAATACTCCCCGGTGGCGAACGCATTGAGGCAGAGAAGGGTAGTGAAATGAAGGAATGATGATTCATCTGAGGAAACGGATCAAGTCAACGGAGATAATAAGGGTAGATTAACGACCCTTGCCTACCCCACGTCCAGGATTTGGACCGCATTGGTTCGGAGTGAGGCTGATGTGCCTTCTCGGATGGTGTTAATACTGATGACTCGCTGAGTAGGCATAGAAATACGCACGTCGAAATGATGCCTCGAGTCAAAGGTGGTGCAAGTGTACGTACTCGGTCCGAAGAGAGAGGGCCATGCGAAGCTCCTTAGGTAGCAGTTTTTGTGGTGATTCGTGGACTATGCATAGCGGGAAGTCTCAGAGGCACGTTACAATCAGAATCCAAGAACTTGAAGAAGACGAGCAAGATGTGGATCCAGATGATCGTAAAGATGGACCCGTGCATTTTCGACCAGTATATCTTGTTTCAAGTTTGAACCAGTTGTTGTCGGGGTAGAAGAATCGTCAATGAGCAACGAAGGTGACATGTCGACACGTCACTTGGGCCAGTGTTATGCTTTCGAGGTGTTTTGCAAGAGGGACCAATTAAGCGCCTGAGATGAAGCGGAGTATCAACGTAGGATACTTATTGGGACGGAGTCTAAAACAAAATCTTGGCAGCTGCGTCGTGCAAGGCGTTTTCCCTCGTTCGGCGGTGTCACTGCATCTTCAATTACCTATGACTTGTTGAGGTGTACTAACTCACACGATCGCAAAGCGATCGAAACCAAATGAATCATTGAGCTGATGGATATATTTATTTCTGATCCAACGAACGAGTGGACATGATCCGGACGCGGTCAACTTCTCAGAAAAGATTATAGTTGGTAGAAGATCCTCAGATGGAAGTCATACATGCGCTACAGCCCCGGACAGTTTGAGAATCGGATACAAGTATATATCTGTGGCCATCCTCGCGTGTTAGATATTCCTCAGCTGCCACCGATGGACAGGATTTTCAAACGAAAGTCACTTCCGAACAAAAAGAGCATGAGATAGGGACGAAAGAAACCACACGAAGGAAACATCGCGTACGTATAACCTCACGAGTCACTAGCAAATCCATAGAACAGAGCACTAACAGCACGTCGAGAACAGGCGGGGCGGCGGCCACTCGAGGGGCTCTGGAGAACGGGCGATTCGACCTCGTCGACCACGAGATAGAACGGAGGCCGTGACTGACGGGGGTCAGTGTCTCTCGCAAAGAAACGGTGGTTCCTCTTGACGAGAGCAATAAACCGAGCTTCGGCCGTCCGTTTGAGATTCATGGTCGGACCATGCCACCCTGCGATATGCCGGTAGACCATGGCGAATACGTCTTCGCCACTCGGCATGCGAGGCGGGTCACGTTGGAACACGGCCCACTCTGCGCGTGCGACCGCCATACGCACATTTTTAGGGAGGGAGTCCAAAAATGCGGAGAAGACGAGTATCCGAGTCAAGTAGAGTGCGTCAAAGTAGCGCTCGGCTAACTCGGTGCGATGAGATGTTGCTTGAGCACCGAGAGTGGCAGTGTCCACGACGGCGCCCAGGTGTTGAACTGCGGAAATCAGATCTTGTGAGAGTTTGTTCTCTCGAGCTTCCTCTGCTGTCTGATTTGGCGAGTACGAGAAGTAGAAGCTCCAATACGCGCTTACCCCGCGCATAAGCTCCAACGTCTGTCGTTTTGGCTCCTTGATCTTAGGTGGCCTACAGAGGTTGAAATCCAGGAATTAGAGAATGGCGGTCATACATTCGGCGTCGACATACCTTCTCTCCATGAATATGCCCCACACGCGAACGCTGGTCAACGGTTGGGGGGTGGCCAGTTGCCCAACAGAGAGGGGGTCGCGATCGGTATAAGCGGACGATCTTGTATGTGACGAAGGATGTAGTATTGCAGAGGGGGTGAGCAGAGGTTCTAGTTCAGCTAAGGCTTCATTGACGAGTAAATCCAGATCGTTGACATATCCCGCTGATACGACATGGTCAATATGCAACATGCAAAAAACAACGATATCATTGCTCACGCTGATGACAGAACTCATAGAAGATGAGACCGTCCGGAGTGACAGAGTCTACATCATTCCACATGAACCGAAATACCCTGTCATCGGTCGGAATAGAGTCGGACTTCTCACAACTCCATAAGCCCATAAACTGTGGCCAACTAGGCCATTCCAAGTGATCGTAGAGGCGGTGCCTATAATGGTCCCAGCCTAGAGTTACCAGACTATTGTACCGAGTGTTCAGACGGCGCCGTGTTACTTCCGGAAGCTCACTCCAAGGCAGATGGCTCGGTTTCGACATCGTCACCGGAGTCGCTTCACCGACTATGGAACACCGACTCGGAATGGAAACAGAAGCTGACCCTGCATGATCTACGAAGGGAGCCTGAACAGCGGGTGTCGAAAGTACTTGAGTCTGGCTTTGGCGGGGCACTTTGTGGATTTTATACAGAACAGAGGTAGTTGTGAGTACAGAGGTGACAGGGGTACCGATTGCGATGGGAGGTGGTGCAGAGGGAGCAGGGGTTCGCACGGAAGTAATCAGAGCAGAAGTAGGAGTCCGGAGAGCACGAGCTGAGACTGTACGTGGAGGTGTAGTACCGGTAGGACTGGGTGGCCGCCAGAGGTGTCTTCGGTCTGCATATCGACGAGCGGGCGTAGGCGTGACAGGATCGGGAACTGGCGAGGGATGGGTGGTAATGCGAGGTGGAGTAGAAGGTGGAAGAATAGCAGGAATTTGCACTTGGAATAGATCAGCATTAACGGAGGCAAGCTCTAGGTCATCGCGACGTTGGCGTTTTGCATGATGGACTTGTATATCGCTGTTAGTATCACTTTCGCATAGACGTTTCCCCGGAGTCACTTTGGAGGTTCGTTCGGCAGGACGTTTGGCCCGAGGCATACTTACTAGTAGGTGAATGGAATCAGGTAAGAGGCAAAGATACAGAAATCAAGAGTCGAGAGTATGTTGTGGTTGTAGAAGAAGAAACGGAAGGCAGCGCTATCGTGATAAGCGAACACGTTGTTTTGGGTTGTTTGCCTCACGTGACTCGTGTCACCATCTTGACACACGGTCCTGGTGTCTGCGTTTCCTTATTGGACACTCATTTTAAACTCAAACTCTTGCAATAAGTAGTAGGGTCAAAGCAAGGACGGGAAAACGGCTTTGCATCGGGCATCATCGTGATACTAACTATCAGCTAAGTCATTAAACTCGTCGTGGGCTCGTCCGAGTCCAACGTATCGCGGGTTGTGCTTCTGGCCACATAAGGTGAGAGCAAGCGAGTGAGTCGAATGCTCTGAGCCCCAGAGCATACTCATAACGTCTACGTATAGAATCACGACAGAATATTCTATTTTCTAAGCAAGAAGACAATCGACAGAGGATAATCAGATTCAAGAATCAGAAACCGTACACATGTGAGCTAATCCCAAGCTTGTTGAGTCCCAAGAAACAACGAGAGCCTGTCCTGCTCTTGAAGACGAAGACGAAAGATGGTGTTGGTGTTGGTGTGGCGAGTGGCAATCCGTTCGAACCTCGAGTTGACGATCGCCAATCGGTGCCACCTCGGGAAATTCCGACGCGCAACCTCGCGCAACATTTTCGATCGCGAACGCCACGTTCCTCCTCTCGCCACACCAGTTTTCCTCTCCCGAGTCCCTCCTCAGCACACAACACACAACCTAAAAGTGCCACACCACAACCCTCCTTCCATCCCACAAAATCCTAGGGGAAAACAAACCAAAACTCACGACACACCCAATCCCAAAGAAATAAACCAATGTCAGCCCCAAAACCCTCCCAACCCTCCATCCTCTTCGCCCGCTCCCTCCTCGCCCTCCTCCCCACCTGGCCCATCCTCTCCACCGCCATCTCCGAATCCTGGGGCGGTCCGTCCGCAGCGCAGAAACTGCCCTGGCTCGCGGGCGAGCTCGTCGATTCGTTCTTTCCTCCCGATAATGACAATGACAGCGTGGGAGGAGCAGGAGGAGGAGAGCCGGCGCCGGACGCGGAGTGGGTGGAGGAGATGTTGTTGCAGGTTATGGAGGATGAGTTCGATGTGGTCGTGCAGGATGGGAGCGCACAGTTGTTTGCGAGGGAGATCGTTAGGGCTTATGACAAGATCGTTTCGAATTCTGGGTCTGTGGCGAGTGTTGAGGAGTATGTGAGAGATTTGGAGGAGAAGGCGGCGAAGATGAAGGGACGGAAGATCAGTGTTCAGGTGCGGGATGAGACGCACGGCGAGGACGAGGAAGAGGAGGGAGAGTGGGAAGATGAGGATGGGGAGGAGGCAGAGGCGCCGGAGTTGATGGATACAAGTGCGGATGGGGAGGGAAGGGCGAAGGCAGAGCCGGTGGTGGATGAGGATGGCTTCACGCTTGTGCAGGGGAAGGGCAAGGGCAGGCGGTAACACTATCTATGTACGTAGATCTCGACCATGTATGTACTTTGCTCTCGAATGACAATCTTGTTTTTTTTCTAGCATATTGCCACCCTTACTGTGAAGGCTCCGTCTGAAAGGTTGTTGTACACCAGAGAAATGTATCTTGATTCACATCACGCCGTTTCGCAAAAGCACAACATGTAGAATTGAACCAATATCCCACCAAATCACATCTACCGATCTCTACAGACAGCAGATAGATAGAGCCGAGAGCGACAGAGCCTCTAGGAGACACGCTTAGGCGACGAAGGCGTATCCCTTCTCGATGTTCTTCTTGAGCTCGGGCAAGCAAGCCTCGAGGAGCTTCTCCTCCTCAGCGGAGATAGGACCGAGGGGATGGATCTTCTCGACACCGTTGACCTGTTGCAACACTCCATCAGCATCGCTCGAATCGAGACATGTAATAATGAGAGACTTACACCGAGCTCGACGTTGCTCGCAAAGAAGTCAATGCCCTTATCCTCGAACAACGGGCTCTTGACGAACGTGGGGGTGATCACGCCCTTCTCACCCTTCAATCCCCTCAGGAGCGCATTCGTGAACTTCGCACCGGCATACGCCATACTCAACGTCGCCGACCCAGCACCATCCTTCGCCTTAACAACCTCATCTCCACCGAACTGAATCCTCTTAACAATCGCCTCGTACGCCTCGCCCTTCACGGCCTTACCGTAGCTCGTCTGGCTCAGGAGGGGCACGATCGTAGGGCCGGAGTGTCCGCCCACGACGGTCACCACGGTCTCTTTCGGGTCGAGGGCGGACGAGGAGGTCGAGGCGGTGGAAGCGAGGAAGCGCGCGGCGCGGACGACGTCGAGTGTCGTTACGCCGAAAACGCGGGAGGGGTCGAAGACACCGGCTTTCTCGAGCGTGCGGGCGACGATGGGCACGGTCGAGTTGACGGGGTTGGAGATGACGAGGATGTGCGCTTGGGGGGAGACGCGGGCGACGGCGGCGGCGAGGTCGCGGACGATGGAGGCGTTGGTCTGCGAGGAGGGAAGGGTTAGAATTAGTTGAGGTGAGGAAAGGTGAGGTGGTTATGTCCGCGGAGCCACGACGGTGGAGGATTCATGAATCAGGCGAAGAGACGTACGTTGAAGAGGTCATCACGGGTCATCTTCATTCACATGAAGGAAATACGGGGTTAGACGGACGTCCGCAAACGTAAACTTTTGGGGAGAAACTTACACCAGGCTATTCGAAGACGCGTCAATTACAGGTACAAGAATATGGCCAGGCAGGTGTAAGACATACCTTGCGTGGAACACCAGCGGGAATGACGACGACCTTGACGCCCTCGAGAGCGGCATCGAGTTGGTCGGCAGCGTAACCAGTCACCTATACAATCACCCCATACAAAACAAACGTCAGCTATTACTTTAAAGCACACACACGAACACACGCCAAGGATGAAAAGTCACGTACCTCGCCAGCGGAGTCGATATGGCTGACATCGGCAGCAACACCGGGTGCGCCACGGATATCGTACAGACTGAGGCTGCTGACGTTCGGGTCGAGCTTAAGCAAAAGAGAGAGAGGCTGGCCGATACCTCCACCAGCGCCGAGGACGGCGACCTTGGTGTGACGTGCGGGCGAAGAGGAGAACGCGCGCGTGGCGAGGGGGGTCGAGACCGAGCGGAGAGCGGCACGGGCAAGCATTTTTTGTGTGCGTTTATGGACGGGGTCGTAAAGGACGTGGGGAACGACGCAGACGACGACGACGACGGTGAGATGGTGGTGGTTAGGAAAAAGAAGAGAAATTCGAGAGAAAGTCAGTTGACGACAATTCGGACTTGTTCGTGGGATGCGGGCGGGCCCGGCGGTTCCGGGTTCGCCCCTTTCCGGCTGGCTTCCGTTCGCGGCGGTTCACTCTTTTCTGCAGAAACAAGTCCAGTGATTGGACTGTACCGTGGCAGACTGCAATACCTTTGGGACAATAATCTCCCAAATTTATTTCTGCGCATCCAGAGGGCAGGGACTGGATCGGTGTTGTCTGGACAGTGTTAAGGCGTCGACAATATTTACAGTGGGTCGTCATCGCACACGTCGTTTGGGTAGGGCTAGTCTCCTACAAGCAGAATAGCCCGTATTTCAACCGGCAAGCGAGAGCCATTGGCAGGATGGCCTGCTCACAGTCATTCATTTTTATACAACTTCTTTGACATTCAACATTGCGTCCTGTTGGGCTTAGAAAGTCTATGTGGCGCGAGTCTAGAACACCCGCGTGTATACGTGTTACTTCGTCCTGTGCGTGGACTTTGTGGTCCAGAAAAGCTATAGACTTCCTATACGATGTACACCTAAAAATCAAAGAGGAGGACATCCAGCCCCTCTATACACGATCTTTGCCCCCAAGCCGATGTTCTCGAACGAGTCTTAGGTATCACAAATTAAAAGTTGGTATAACTTGCCCATGACCCTTTTTCGTGTACGTGCACTCTCGATATGTAATGCTCACTGAACATACCTTGTGCTCTTACAAACGAAGAGGTACTCTACGAGCATCATTAACACCGGCGGTACACGACTGCAGCGCCTGCAAATGCTCACAGGTTCGAGGCTACGCCGACTTCGCGTATGAAGATCGTTCACCGTAAGCCTTTGTCATTGGTTGTAAGTTGTTAGGAGCCGATATACCCCACGGCAAATTGCTCTCCTAGGTTTCGAGGAAACCTCTACCTTTTCGCCGCTGGGCCACAACGGAGATGTGGCGAGTAAGTACGCACCGTCGGAGAAGGTCGGAGCTCCAAAAATACATGTTTTGCTTTTGTGGCACCTGGCTTCTGGCTGACGTTCCAACGCTGGCCTATCCTCGACCGCCATTGATACCCTAAGATCATTGGACTTGCTCCTTTCGCGTTTAATGCAACAAGAATAGCGGTTGCTTTCTGGTCTGCGTATCTGTGAGTGATCGCGAACACCGCCTACAGTAGATCGAGCTCCCTTCCTCGAGGCATCCTCACGTCCCCCTCGCTCCTCCCTTTCTCACGCCTCTCAACCCTCGACTCACGTCTTCCTACTCGAATCACTTACCTTGGTACTAGACAACACTCACCGTCGTACCTGCATAGCCCCTTGCTGCTGCTGATCCACGAGTCAAACCTAAGTGCGGATCAGTGCCACTCGAGATACTTATAAGTTCGCCCTAGGACCGCGACGGAGTTGGATTACTTACTCCTACTCGAACCCATCAATTTTTGTTCAGACCGACCTCTAGACGCCACCATGGATATCTGCGCCTGGATACTCAGCTTTTTTACGTCAGAGATTCCACGACGTCCACGAACTGATCACCGAAGAAATCGAAGTACTGAAGATTTCGAGGCCGACCTCTGTCAGGTACTTAGCATCAGCATGCAGTACTTTCGAACGGGAACCGTACTGAGACGTTATACCTAGCAATGTCGGAAAGTACCCAGAGCTTACGACGAGACGACCAAAAGGTCACTCCCCTGTACGCATTTCTGTGCTCTGCTGCGGTCTCACTGGCACTGATATGCATAGATGCTGTGTCTTGTTTTTCTTGCCAGACTGCAGCAGAAAATGTGCAGAACGGGCTGGAGCTATACCGACAAGCTCATCCACGAGAACTAGGCGTGTCGTGGGTTCCACCTCTGCGTTCAGTCCGTCGACAACCGCGCTATCCTCGACAGCTCTTTCACCATTCTCTAGTACGGACGATCTCTGCGAGGTTGGTTTACTCGTTATCCTAGTTGTCTCATTTTGTCCTTTCAATATCCTCTAACACTCCTCTCGTATGCCTAGTTCTGTGGCGTGAAGCAGAAATGGACAGACTCGACAGGCTTCACACACCCATGTAAGTCTCACCGTCCAAAGGCTCATCGTCGTCCAAGCCCATTCCGACCGAGGGCGTCATCATCTTAATCCCTAATCTTAATCTTTACAGACTGCGGCAAAACCTGCGCACGAAAGATGCGCACGAACAGCCAGAACAGGCCCATATCAATGAAATCGCCACTGGTCGGCTTCCAGGCGATCTCGACGCCCATGGCTAATGGGGGCGATCAGGCGCAGGCGCAAGCGACGACTGGCCAGGCCTCGTCGGAACTTTGTGAGGTACGTACGTGGCTGCGCGGGAGATCCTTGATGTCATACTGCACGGTATATAAGCTCATCTGTCGTGGTACTTAGGTATGCGGCAAACGACCAAAGTATGTCGAATCGGATGGACGGAAACATCCATGTAAGTCCTTCAGCGACCATCCCGCACTTTCTGATCGTTAGTTTCTTTGACCGTGTCACACTCATCACTGATGATCCCCATTATCAGACTGCAGCAGAACTTGCGCCGCCACACGAACGCCGCTAAAACCCCAAAACACCCAGCCCTTCTCACCAACGAGTCCAATCTTCCTCCCCGGCGAAGCCACTGACCCGACGAATGCCATCCTCTTCTACCATCGTCATGAACCACATTATGGCTTCACGAACTTCTCGGACCATCCTGTTACCTACAAAAAGAAGGTGTACCCGACGAGCGAGCATCTGTTTCAGTCGTTCAAGGTATGTTCGAGCGTTTCTTAAAATCCGTGGTGATGCGTGGAATGTCGGTCTGATCAGGAGGGTCAGTTTTTGAAGTATAAACCTGAGATCGCTGAGAAGATCAGACAATGCGAAAATCCGAGGGCGGCATTCCAAGAAGCGAGGAAATACGCATCAGGTCGGTGCTGATCCTGCGCTTGTGTGTCCCGCTTTCGTGTTTGTTTTGCTGATTGCGCTGGTTCAGACGTTCGGGCCGATTGGTTCAAAGTGAATATCCGGAAGGTGTGTGTGTTTCCCTGAATTTTGGGTGGACTACGATTGACGCGTCTCTATTAGATGGATGAGGCGATCGGACTCAAGTTCAAGCAGCATCCTGAGCTCAAAGATGAGCTGTTGGCTACGGGAAATAAACTACTCGTCGAGGTAAGTGGCCGTGATTTCTTATATCGTCTAGGCAGTCCTTATGCTCAGAGTAATACTGACACGACTGGTCACAGAACGCCGGTGCAGCAGATGCGTTCTGGGGTAACGGTGCTGATGGGCAAGGGCGCAACGAGTTGGGCAAGGCGCTCATGCGTCTGCGCAGTCGGCTTCGTGACGAGGCGTAGGGTGGAGGCGATGGATCCTCTCCAAACTTCCCGCACAGTACGACACCATCACCGGAACCTCGACACAGCCTCTATGGTCTTACGGTTTAGTATATGACGAGTAGTGCTATGTTGTATGTACTTCTATGCCTCCATGTCGGTCGTTTTAAAGGTATCTTATGAGCTCCTTTGACTGACTTGTTTGGACAGTCTTCCGTGTATGTGATCTGACACTTCTTTGATGACAAATAAATAACCTGTAATACATAGTAGTGATATGCTAACCAGAATACATATATATGCTTCGAGCACTCAGGAGTATACTCAGTCCAGCCAGAGCTTCCCCCTCGACTCTCCATCGGAGCTGATCAACCCCAGACCCATCAAGATCGCAGAGATGTCCCCACTGACACCACTTAGACTTCCGGTGGTATCCTCGAGCGTATCGTCGTCCGAATCGTCCAAGCCCAGCTCGGAGAACAGCTCTTCCAACGCTTCGTCCCCATCCAGATCGACTGGGTCCGGGAAATCGGGCTCGTACATGACGACGAACGCAGGTCGAACCGCATCGTTATCGTACACGACCGTCTCCTCGTAATTCAGATCTCCTCCTGGTTGGCCGGTCACCTGTGTTAATAAAATGAAAGGACGAGCATGCCATGAGTATCGTATATCAGCCAGCGGGATCAAAGAGAACACAAAGGTGTGGCGATGCAGTGAACGCGCATACCGAGTCGTAACCGCGAGGCGCGGCTTTGAGACGCTGGTCTGTGCGTGTCAGGATGCGTGGCCTCCCTAGAACGACGCGTGCGAGGATCATGGCCTTTGAGTTTGAGGCCTGGAGCTCCGCAAGTCCAGATGCGTCGTCGACGTAGTCGTCAGCCTCTATGAAAGATAGTTTGTGAGAGCCTCCAAATACAAAGGAAGAATGCGAAACTTACTCGATGAGATTGAGGTTAGGTAGATCCCTTTTCCGAATCTATTGTATGGTGAACGAGCCTAAGAACCTTTTGAAGATGTTGCGATGGCAAAGGATGTTCGTACCTCTGGAAATTATGCCTCGCGCCTGTGCGATCACGGAGCGCCATGAGACCTCGAGAGCGCACGCAATAAAATATGGGGACGTACCGCTTCGTTCCACCTCAAATGATCCACGAAGTATAGAGCAGAGCGCGCACGAAGACGATAGACAAGGCTGGGCATAGCTGTCTTCTTGGCCAAGAGGGCAGCCTTTGGGTGTACCATGAAACTGAAAGGACTCCGTATGAAATGCCTTCCTGTCTCTAAAGGAATGAGACACGTTAGAGGCATCGCGGGTGGAGTGCACAGTGAAGTCAATTTCACCTATATTTCTCGTACGACTGCATGCCCTCCTTGTCGTACTTGACCTCGAAGATCTTCGTAACACGCATTCTTTCTTTGTTGCTGTGCTTCCATCCTGAGAGGAATAGTTCCTCGACTGGCAATGCAAGCTCTCAGTGTTGGAGTGGACGAGGACTCTCATTCATCCCCGAGACTCACTATAGAAGAACCGGGTGTCAACTCGCTCAACTGAGACCAGCTCAGGGGACGAAAACAGACTATCAATACGTTTAGGATGGTCAGTTCCAGAGATAGTGAGGTATAAAAGCAAGGGTCTTCACCTTGTGGTGCAGTTGAACGGAAGGGCTTTCGGGAAGGAAGGCATGATGGAGCTGTGTCAGTTGTCGCTTTCCTGGCTGTGCCTTATAAGTTAGGGGAACAATGGACACCAGGAAAACACGAGGCTGGCACAAAGGTAAAGGGCTGGCCAAGCACAACGTTCCAGGCTCGTGAATACGCAGTGGCATGCCATTAATTGCAGATCGCGATATTTCTTGTGTGGCGATACAGTCGACATGCAACCAAGGATCGAAACAGTGGCTTGCTTTAAGCTTCCCGTGCATGGTTAAAAGCCGACATACTCTCCAAAGACGTGTTGATTATGATCTGGTCAGCGAGACTACATCATTCGAACCCAAAGAAACTAGCAGAATGGTCAAGTAGCAATGATATCCATGTCCCGGTTGTTGACAGACCGCTGACAGCCAAACACTCAAGAGATATTGAGTACTGCCAGTTCTACCGTGCGCAACAGGTGATTAGACTTGACCTGGAGATGTTGAACTCGTTGTGGGAGGCAGCGATGTGGCAGTGGCCGCGCAGTAATAAGTATGACTCGGAGTATCAGCGAAGGCGAGCACCAAAGGCATGAGGAGGAAGCATACTAGTCTAGAAAGGAAGGACTCGGACTCACTGATCATGACGGTCATGAGGTCACTCGAAAAGGTAAAAGGTATAACAATGAATGGTCTCGAAAATCTTGAAGCAGAATGGCTGGGTCGCAAAAGCCTCAGCCCGTTCCGAAAGCCCCACAGCGGGTGTAGTAGCGACAAGGATACCAGGCAAGAAGAGACAGGGTACTACGCTGTCTCTAGGTTTCTGGGGCCGGTGGGGAGGATGCCAGTGGTCGGGATGCCGAGGATACGTGATTCTTTGTAGTAGTCGCTTCATATACAGTTCTGGATTGGTCGGAGCACGTGCATGGCGAGGGTATAGGATTGTGCGATCCTCAAAGGAGGTATGTCGCGGAACGTTCAAGTTGAAGTCGCAAGTCCGAGGATGCATAGGGATGCATGACACCGACAAAGTGTGGCGAGGTGTTTATATATGCGGCGATAGCCGGAACACGAATTGTGGCCACGCACGAAACTCACAAATCATGTAATACTAACTGCACACTTTACCAATGTTTCCGCATTGCTTATAACGAAGTTACAGGTACAAAAATCAATCATATCCATGTATCACTGCACCACCTCAATATCCCGCCCAGATCAACCTCTCATGCTCCTTCAAGACCGCCTCTACCTCCTCTAGATCCGCCTCCTTCACCAATAAATCCCAAAATTCTTGCGCCTGGCTCCTACTCCTCCTCCCATGTACGAACCGGTTATTACTCGGGAAAGTATACCCTTCAGCCGTACTTGATATGACGTTCCAGGTCTCGTCCTCCGTCAAACTGCCAGTCTTCTTACGCGCGAGGAGCTCAAGATAGACGGCGATACACATGGAGAGCCTATCCTCGGCATCGCCGGAACGGCCAAAGGCGGAGGAGACTTGCAAGAGGTTGGCGATGCGGTTGATGGACGTGGACGAGTTGTTTCCGGCCCCATGGTAGATAGAAGGACTGAAAAACACGGCGTCGCCCTTCGAGAGGGGGACTTGAACTTTGTGGGCCTCAAAGAAAGCCTTGAACTGATCAACGTCTGGATGAACGATTGATATGACGTTAGTTGCGGCGATAGAGTGGTCGAACAGCTAGGAAGGGAGATGACGGGAACGGGAAACTGACTCTGAGCTAGATAACCAGCGTCATAAAGGTTTGAGTACGGCAGAAACTTGGTAGGACCAGATTCCATGGGCATATCGACGTGCGCAATGGCGCCTTGAAGGGTGAGGTAGTGGGCCGCCATATGCATGTGAGTGGGAAAAAGTGCCGCAGAACCGGACTCGACCACTTTATCTAGTAGGTAGAGGGGGAAAGAGTAAGATCTCATGAGACACGGCGGCTACTAGATGAGAACACAGACTGACCACCATGGATGACAGGGTTGTGAACGGCGGAGCCCATATGATAATCCCTGTGCATTCTTTGAGCCTTATTTCCTGGGATGCACTGGCTAATCTGTGCAAGACGGGTAGGCATGGGTGAAGACCGCGAACAAGTGTACGAAGTATGGCTTACCTGGCTCGTCATCTGGTACCATGGGCCCAACCACGCACCAGAAGCAAGCGCCACAACATCGTTCTTATAGTAGTCGACGAACGCCTTTGGACTCTTCAAGACATGTTTCTTCCCCGTGTCGCATACAATATAGTTCTCTTCCCGCTCCTTTGTGTCGATAGCCCTCTGCTCCTCGATAAGCTCCGTCAACACCTTCGTGCTCTCATCCAACTCATCAAGGTTGTCGTATGCCCCTTTGAAGATGGCAACACCAGGACCGGAGCGGAGGACACTGATGAACTCCTCGCGGAGAGGGAGGTTGGCAGGGTCGGTCCAGTTGGATGTTAAAAGGCCTTGCTTGCGAAGAGAGGGGCAGTCGTAGATTGGGACGAGGTCGGCTGCGATGGAGGAGGCCAGAGGGTACGAGGAGGCGGATGCCTTTCGACCGATGATGAGCTGCTGGAACTCATCGAAGGAGATGTCGTCGTTCGTGAGATATGGCTCAATAAGAGGCAGAGTGACGCCATGAAGGTCGGTCAGGGGCTTTACACTTCTGCTAGTACCGTTCATGTTGGGCAAATAAGAGTGGCCTGTTCGTGTAACGCAGTACTAGGCTCAAAGATACGGGGATTGGGAGGACGAACAACAAGAAGGCAGGTGTTTTAAGGGTGTCTGCCTGGGTACCTATGAGCAGAAGACGAATCTGAGGGCCAGCTATTGGCCACTATATAGCATCGATATCCTAGCCAGGACCAATCCCCTATCGTCCGTGGAAGCCTCCGGATAAACCTCGGGTGTGGCCCAGAGAGTGTTTGCGCATTGATTTCAAATGCTTCTGCGAGGCGGCCATGCAGCTTGAGAGCGGAAACTCACCGGAGCTGAGACAAAGTCAGATCATCTCGATTTTAACATCATGTTTTACATCCAGAGAGATTTGTGTAGAGCGGTGCTGACCCTTTGAGCCGCGCGGACACACTGTTGGAGTATTGACGAGGGTTCAGTGATGACCACTTCTTCGTCTGGAAGAAGATTCCAAATCTCAGCATGTTGAGGCTGCAAGGAAACGTCACTAGATCAGTGGCGTGCTCTGTGGGTATGATTACGGCGTGTCTGCTCAATCGACCTACTCACGTTCATAGTAGACATTGACATGCACAGTTCGACAGCCCATAGGATTCTATGTAAAAGGAATATATATCTTGAGGGTAGATTGTCCGCCAAATGGACCAACACTGATTTATGGAGCGAAGCTTTTACTGAGCGTCGAGGAGAAACTGAGTTCCCGTACACTTGATAGCATGTTGCGAGTAGACATGTTCGCGCTAGAAAAGTCGATGAAGGGACCCTTGGTGGAAGAAAGACCGCTGAGGAGCGAGTCTTGCCTTTAGGAAGCGCTGTAAGGCACTGAGGACGAACATTTTCGCCCGTAGCCACCAAGACTGGTTCATGAATACACAGAGGTCGTGGAAGGAAGGAAACCAAGTCGGTGCCACTCCGAATCATGTTCGTTGATTTCTTAGCCTCGGGCCAACCCGGAAGTGGCGCTCACTTACGCCACGCGCATAAGTTGAATGCTGCTGGATTCCACCACTGGCATTATGTAGACCATGTTTTCATTTTGAATTGTAGGTCACATCAATTGCGTTGAATAAAGAAGCTGGTGGAGGCTATCCCGAGGTCGAGAAGTTATACCAGGTACTTACGTTCGAAGGATACAAATACTGTACTTTTTCGACCGTAGGTTCGTGGGAATATTTGGTAAGCCGTGACCACCGCTGGGCCACGGTTCGTCTGTGTGGGCCACGCGTGATGAACCAGCAAAATTGTTCGCATTTAGGCCCGAAATTGAATTTTGGCTATTTTCGGGGCAAATTGGTCACAGTTTCTTGTTCACGAACTCAAGTATGAGCGTGACCGGCTGGCCAAATATGTTCGCCGGCGCACCCAGAGTGATGCGTGACGAACCTACGGTCGAAAAACTACAGTACAAAACAAACCCCGAAATGAATCGAAATTAATATAACGTGCGACATGGACTGATGAATTCCTTCATCCGGCTGCCTGAGTCCTCTCCAACATCTTGTTCACCGCTACCGGCCGCCCAGACGCAGGATGCGCCAAATCCGCCATCTTAGCTTCCCTCATCTTGAACAGCAGCCTGGTAAGTATCGTAGGCGTGACGATCGAACTTCCACCCTCTGTTCCCTCTCGTCCCGTGAATAGAGGTGTACCTTCGATGCTTCCATCCCCACTGCCCAACCTAGATCCAGAACGTTTCGTACCAGCGCTGGCCATCGACCCGCCCCTTGCTGAAGTAGATCCCGAACCAAAACCTGCGCCACTGCGACCTGATTCAGCTATAGCGTCATCTTTGTAGCGTTCCCAAAGTGTGTACAAAGCGATGATTTCCTGAGCGATGGTGGCAATAAGTGACATGGAGACATTCAAGCCGGCCATAAACCCGATCGCGTCTGGCTGCGATTTCTTCTGTGACGAAGTTGAGCCGGAACTATTGCGAGAGGAACGTCGCGAGGGCTGGGCAGGATCGGGCTTCACTGGAGATTGTGACTGTGACTGTGAGGGAGACCTGGAAGGCAGCGGCAGGGTTGCGCGAGTCGTGGGGTTGAGGACAAGGGTGAGGTAGATGGCGGCAATGGCGATTAGATGAGGTGGGTATAGAAGACAGATGTCAGAGCGATAAGTGTCGTTGATGATGAACCTAGTCAAGCTTGTTAGTGATATACTTTAACTCCATGAGTTGAGCACTATACCAGGCCATCTGCAGGGGTCCTTCCTGCAGCTCAAGTTTACCCTCACCGGTGCCCCAATATCGTGGACCATCGTCGATTCCGATTCCCAGTTCTCCGGCTTCTGCACTACCGGCACCATTCTCCTTCCCGCACAGAGCCATGAGGGTTCGATACGGATGAAAGATGGTGAGATCACATTCGAGGTCATCCACGAGGTAGAACTCCATCTCTGCGAGCTTAGAGTTGTCTGAAGGGAAGTGCTTGATGCCATATCCCTCCTCTAAATGGTCACACTTTGTCAGTGACGGGCGAGGGAATGCTACCTGAGAAGCGGCTGACTGACGGCTGAAAAGTTGGCGAGATTCAGACACTACGTTCTTGATGTGCACGGGAGATTCCTCCGCCTTAGCGGCGACGTAGCAGCATGCGGAGATGACAATAAAGGGATCAGTCTCGCAGTAAGAGTTCTTGATATAGAACCGGCGGAAGAATATCGTCGCAGTAGCAATAACTCTTTGTCTCAGCGAGAGACGCTTCCCAAGTTTGGATATCACTACGAGTGCAGAGGAGATACGTATTAGCTGTTGTGTTCAGACCCGTTCTATAGGGCGAAGATTTGATGGAGTGAACCATCGGAGAACGCCACTCAGGGCATGTGAGGCGCGACCCTAAAGGTATGGCTTACGGTTCGCAAAGTAGATATTCAAAAAATCGAGCAGTTCCGGGTCTTCGACATACATCAAGTCGTCGGAACGTGCTTGCCTAAGAGTGGCGCGGTCCACGACCCAGCGTTTACTGGAGGAATAAAGTCATCAGTAAATGGTGGCTACATGCCTGACTGGACGCACTATTGGGAGCTAGCCCAGTAATCAGTAGCCATTGTAGTACCGGCTATTGCTGAGAACAACAAGCCACACTGGCAATGCTCATGTTCGTGTTTGTGGTGGATGCTCGAAGCAAAGGAAGGTGGCGCCAATTTCACGTCAGCGCTCGTTGTCTGCACGGTCAGGTGACAACTTGAAGAAACGCGACGCGCCGGGGAATCGGGATGCATCAAACGCTGTCGCGTCCAATAGATGTATATAGGCATCGAGTCTGTAGTTTACACGTATATTAATGATGTAAAAACGATGCGGCATGCTATGGAACGTATTTGATAGTAGAAATCTGTCCGAGAGCCGGTACCGGAGGCATCCGTGTCCTACTGTTCGCAATTGCAAACATTGATGAGGAAATCGATCTTTGGGGTGGAGAGAAGACTTTCTCCCGTTTGGGCGTCCCTATTATCTTGAGCTTCGCCTTGTATCTCTCGCTCTCCAAATTCAACTTCTTCACCTCCTGAGCCAACCACAGCGCAAAGTCCCTGAGCTCCCGACTGCTCTTCTGCAGAGCTTCGACTTCTTCCCTAATCTGTTGGATAGTCTGCAAGGCCTCGTTCCTCTCCTCAAAGAGCTCGTTTTGGTAGGTCACGTACATTGCCCATCGAGAAAGCCGTCCCCGTACTCGTCGAAGAAATCCGGTTCGATCCAAGTAGACGAGAAACTCCTCTAGAGGCCGATTGAGTTCGAAAGGGACTTGGATATTCCGGGCAAATTGTGTAGAAGTGACTATCGATTTGAACACCTAATGGGGTCATATTTCGGAGCAAATGTGAGTCCAATGCAGAGATACGACATTTCAGACGACGAGAGTTTCTGAGGAACATACCGTGACTGCGTACTCCATCCCCTCTTCAATCTTAACAAATGCGTAGTCCCTCACGTTATAGTATGACCCTTCAGCTTCCTGTTCTGCCCAGTGCTCTTGCCAGTCCCAGCTATTGATGCTATCCCTCTCCGTCGACTCGATGTGACGCCACTCGCATGTACTCCGTATGATATAGCCCAGTTCGCTATCCCACTCTTTGAGCCTTTGGATGATTACATCACCGCCTTTGAGGCTGAGGATGTCGTGTTGCTCGAAGTATTTGCCCTCGATAAGTGAAGATTCGGCGAGATGGTTGACAAGTTCGGATATAGTATTGTGGCGAAAGTTTGGGTCATGTCCAAGATGTTCTCCGAGTGATGTATAGTCGGGCGTAAAGCTTCTGGTGATAGTAGTAGACGGTGTGTAACGGGATAGCAAAACCGGAAGCCGAGAGACTTGGCTAGTTGGGCTAGGTTGCGCCACGAGAGCTCCTAGACGTGATGGGCGAGTGGGCGGTGTATGAGGATGGTATGGATCGAAAGGTTTGGAGGACATTTTAAAATCGAGGGCCACGGCGTTGTGAGAGGATGGAGATTTAGAAGAGCAGTGAGGGACAGCTTTGATAAAACGAGTACAATGGCCCCGTCCGATGAATAGACTCATTATGAACCGGACTGCACGGTGAGTGGAAGTCTCTCCGTGTCTCACCACGACCCTGAGCCGGTGACTCGGGCACCGGGGTCAGCACCCGAGAAAGAGTTCTGAGACAATGAACAAGCCTGATACTATCCACGTCGAGAAGCGGCCAATAAGGGGTGCTCATAGGTCAACGCAACCAGCTACGGCGACGTCGCGGATTGGGTCTGCGCTGAAAATCCCCCATCGATGACACAAATGTAGTTTAGCACCCTCAAGCTACCTCTTGTAGAAGTATAGTGTGTCTTGCGTGTGTCTTTATTCCAACCGCGTCTTGTCTCGGAGAATATATAAATTTATTCAACGAGGGGTATAGAAATGACAACTGTGCAATCCGTGACTCTGCAGACTGGACGATTCAAAAAGGAGAGTAGGGATGTAGAAAGGAATAATAAGGGGAAACTAGGAGAATCTGACTCAACGATACTAATGATGTTTTCTTATTTTCTTCTTTTTATTTTATTTTGTGGATTTTGTGATCTGCCAACACACTGGACCGAACAAGCGTAATCTAGAAAACCGGCACATCAGCTCGTGCGTTTCTCTAAAGCTTGGTGACGACCCACTTTATCTTTTATTCTTTCGAGGTTCTGTATTTGGATGGCCGTTCGTATCCCTAGAAACACTCTGCGAATGGGACAACAGTCAGCACGTGTAGTGCCACGAAGCCAATATTGAACTCACTGCGATGGACAATCCCAGGTCCCATCTCATCGTACTCCTGCTTCGTGCACCACATCGTCTGGAACGTGCTCAAGCTTGCCAAAATTGATCCTCCGATCCACACCGAGTACTTGCGCTCGGGTGGCGCGATGACCTTGACCCTCATGCTGGATGGAGCGGAGTTGGTGAGCTCCTTCTGCATGCGGTCAGCAACGCCGGGGAGCATAGTGGTGCCGCCAGAGAGTACAATGTTGCCGAAGAGATCACGGCGAATGTCGAGGTCACACTTCTGGATCGAGTTGAAACTGAAAGCATACAATAAGTCAGCGGACGCCCAAAAGACAATATGACAAACACTTGCGTACGCTATATCATGGATACCGGCGGACTCGATACCGACGAAGCTGGGCTGGAAGAGCGCCTCAGGAGCACGGAACCTGCAGAGTCCATGAGCACTACGGTAGTCGTGTGATGGGCAATGCCGGCAAACCTCTCGTTCCCGATGGTGATGACTTGCCCGTCAGGCAGCTCGTAATTCGCCTCGATCTTGGAGGACTCAGCTGCGAGTTGAAGCTCCTTCTCAAAGTCAAGTGCCACATAGCACAACTTCTCCTTGACGTCCCTGACGATTTCACGCTCGGCGGTAGTGGTGAAGGAGTAGCCACGTTCCATAAGTCTGGTCACCAGATGGTCCGTGAGGTCTCTCCCGGCTAGGTCGAGCCTCTGAATAGCGTGGGGGAGAGAGAAACCTTCGTAGATAGGGACGGTGTGGGTGACACCATCACCGGAGTCGAGCACGATACCAGTAGTACGGCCGGAGGCGTAGAGGGAGAGCACGGCCTGAATCTGAACGTGAAAAGCGGGAGAGTTGAATGTCTCGAACATGATCTGGGTCATCTTCTCGCGATTGGCCTTGGGGTTCAGCGGAGCTTCGGTAAGAAGGATGGGGTGCTCTTCGGGCGCAACACGGAGCTCGTTGTAAAAAGTGTGGTGCCAGATCTTCTCCATGTCGTCCCAGTTGGTGACGATACCGTGCTCGATGGGATACTTCAACGTGAGGATACCACGCTTCGACTGAGCCTCATCACTGAAGAATAATGCGTGATGAGCATCGTCAAGAAACACGGTGCAGGCGCTGAAAGACGGCTCACCCGACGTATGAGTCCTTCTGACCCATTCCGACCATCACGCCGGTATGACGGTGCCTACCAACGATCGAGCTATATGCGCAGATGGAAGTTAGCTATAGTTTATGGAATAGACGAGTGGATGAGGCTCACGGAAAAACGGCTCGAGGAGCGTCGTCGCCTGATAACATGAACTGAGCTATCGTCGGTCATTGGAATAGGAATTAGTTCATTACCTGCGACTATGAGAGCACTATTAGTTCAATCCAAGGTCAAAGGACGGTGGGGAGCACTTACAGCCAGCCTTGCACATTCCAGAGCCATTGTCAAGAACCTACAGGCGCCATATTAACAAACCGTTCGAGTAGAGTTAGCAAGTACTTGAACTTACGATAGCGGAAATTTCGTCATCCATTTGTATCGAGAAACTTTGAATGAAGATGAGATGAGCTGTTTAAGAGTATGAGAGATGCGGATGGCAGACCTTGCATCAGAGGTGGTGCTTTTATACGGTGAGGGTGACCCATGGGTCCAACGGATTCTGCTCCGGCGTCAAGACGGCGCAGCAACTCTCCGTGACGTTCACTTGAACAAAAGTGCCTGCAAGATGGTTTCACAGCGCTCGCCAAGGAGAAATTGCATGGCCACATACAAACAAACAAACAAACGGAAACGGAAGACGGGTGGGTTCTGACATCACACTCTCGGCATTGACTCAGAGAGTAAGTTTCAACTGAGGGTCGTGCCAAGCGGTCACGGAAGTCGCAGCTAGTAGCGGATTCGGATGGCAGACTATGCATCTCCCCGGATCAAAATGGACAATAACGATCCACGAGGTTATTGAGCTGACTGGGGAAGAGTAGATCGTCTTGGTATAAGGCTATACAGTTCGCAGTCGAGGAGCCCAGCCGTTTTGAAGGCCGCAGCCGGCGGCGTCTAAAAGACCGCTACGCACCAAGAAAGAATCATGTTCTATCTTTAGAATAAGTATAGTTGTCCATGTGCTTGGCCTCCCTTCAAAAATAAAGGCGGACGCGAGCCGCTGACTCTGAGGCTTGAGCGCTGCGGCGATGTGATGCCTAGCGTATTTTTGCATTGTATGAGCAAACACTGTACGGTTTATCTGTGTATTTTGGCATCCGCCCGCAAGGTCGGAAAGAAATACATACCGAGTCACCGTCGAGCCCGTCGGGCATGCTGCCACCTGCGCGATTCCGCATCGTCAGCACTCTACTCGGTCCGAATATTCGGAATGTTGTCAGAGATGTGAGGTTTCATGTTACTAACGATGAATGTACTGTGGAAATATTCTGGGTCGAGTCATAGATATTATCCACACCAGGATCGTACAAGAGGACTTACTCGAGTTCGGAGGTTGAAAGAGAAAGGAGGCGGGCAACTAGTGCCACTAGCAAAAGTCGGTGCCACAGGGACGTTGCCCCAAGATAAAACACCGAATTCTTCCGGCTCCTTCCCGGATAGTAAACGCCACAGGCCAACGAGGTAAACCATGGTGGGTTGAGCAGGTGGCGTAGTCCCACCACATACATCTATATAGTCCGTTGTAATAGTGGACGCCACTCCCCGAGCACTTGTCGCGTGTATCCTGTAGCGCAGTTAGAATACCATCAAGCAAGGTTGGCAGCTGGCGGAGACAGTGCTCACCGATGCGTAAGCAACCCCGTCCGGAAAACGTTAGCCTTCCGTTTCAACCTGTGTCTTGCCAGAGCACGAGGGTATTTGTGGACCGTATGTAAGGTTCCTGTTGGTATATATGAGGGCAACGGGGGTGAGCCTGATGAGTATGAATATGAAGATGAGAGGAGGAGCCTGGCCCACCAACTAAATACATTTTCCGCATACAAAGTTGATACCTGGACAAAAGGACCAGATGAGGGGTTGGTGAAGGGCGTGGATATAATCGTTGAGCTGCTGAAGTGGAGAATTGAGTAAGTGGAGAAGCTTGTGGAGGAGGTCGAAGCAGCGACGTCAGCTCGAAGTTGTGCGATTCAAGGAGTGGGCAAGCTGAGATGTCCTGTTCACGTCCACGCCATGTGAAGGTTGGCGTACATCAAAGAAGGGATTTGTGTATATCTCCGTTCTTATTTTCGCGGTTAATTATTGACTGTTGTGCGTTATGGAGTGTGTTCCACAGAGTTCGATCGGCTGGCTCTGGTTCCGCACACGGCCGTTATTCAGGCCACGCAAAGCTAGAGAATCCAGGCAGAAAAAAAGTACAAATGATCCTGGTCATTCATTCACTGCGTACCATTACTCTATCGTCATGCTATTGTAACGCGTTCACATCCCCTCTCGTCTCCGTGGTGCGGCGCGCAAGATGTCATCCACCCTGTCAATCGATAAAGGTTAGCTCTTACTCGTAGGACGAGGATGGAGAGGAGGCTTACCGGATGATCATCTCTGCCGCCTCACTGGCACTAGAGACAACCTGTCGCTTGAGCTTGTAGCTCTCCGTGACACCGAGCTGCATCATCGAGCCGATCGTACCCTGCTCCATATCTGCGCAAAGTGATTAGTCAGTCACGAGATCTACCCAGAGTCAAGCAATTAAAAAGCTCACCAAGCCCCGCATCCGCCTTGCCCTCATAGTGCGCCGCTCTCAGCCTCGTAACGAGATCGCTCGAATCATACCCCGCATTATCCGCCAAGATCGTCGGGATTTGTCTCAGAGCCCTCGCAAACGCTTCGACCGCGAGAGCCTTCTTCCCCTTCACCGTCTTCGCCGCGTCCTCCACCGCAACAGACATGAGCATTTCTGCGCATCCGCCGCCGAGGACAACCCGGGTCTCTTTTACGGTCTGGGAGAGGACGGAGAGGGCATCGTGTAGGGAGCGGTCGGCTTCGTCGACCATTTGGTTGGTGGAACCGCGGAGGACGACGGTGCACGCTTCGCCGGCTGCGACGCCGGAGAACTTGATCAACTGTTTATGGCAAGTACAGAGGTCTGTCAACATGGTATATTGGTGAACATAGCGGTGGATAAAATACCTTGTCCTCGCCGATCATGATCTCCTCGATCAACTCGCACTTGCCTAGCTTTACGAGATCTGGCCTATCGAATGTACTCGCGATCTCACCGCCGGTGACCAGACTTAACCGCTCGACACCCTCGAAATCGGCGTGTTCAATGGTGAGGATGCCCTTCTCGGCGAGAAGAGATTCGGGGTAGTTGTAGATGAGCTGACGGTTGACGAAGACATTGATCCCGTGCGAAGCGATGGAGTCGACTTTGGCCTTCATTTTTTCCTGATTAAAGACAGCGGATGAGTATGCGTTGGACTCGCTTGGAGATTGAAAGGAATTGCTTACCCGTTCTGCGCGCTCGAGTTCTGCGAGTTTGCCAGTACCGTCGACTTTGACACGGGCCCCGAAGATCTTGATCTTATCGGTGTCCATGGCTATAAAATCACTCGTCATTATGGACGATGCCGAATCGTGGAGAGTATTGCGTACAAGTGTTGGCGATCAGAATTTTGGCATTCTCAAGACGCTTGGGGCAGTTGACGCCTATTGACTTATCGAGGATGAAGCCTGTAGCAGAAAGGGGGATCAAGTGAGTTTATATCTGCCAAGATAGAATGGCGATTGGAGGAGACGATGAAGAGATCGACGTGTGGCGCCTAAAAAGATGTACGACGCCACGAAGCCGTTCTATTATCGAAGGCCACTTTACCGAACGCAAAGGCATAATGCTTCATATGCAAGACATCGATCGGGGATAGAGACGAAAGCACTGAACGATATGGCGAAAAACATACCTTCATCAAGGTAGGAATCTGTCAGTTTGCCACCGACTTTTTTGATGATCTGGATATGCTCCAAATCTGTAGAACCCTGTACAGACGGACGAGATAGACGATATGAGTAATTTTGAGAAAATTATTCGACAGAGGGAGATCTGAAATGAACGACATACCTTTAGCCGCAGAACAGCATCCACAGCCAGATTTGCGAAGTAGTCTTTGTCTTGGGAGAGGACTTTTGAGGACAATGTTGTCCGTGCGATGTTCATGAGATCTTGCCTGAACGTTGCTGGGTCTGAGCTATAGCAGATATACACCAGTCAGACATGTTGCCCCAAAATGAAATACTACCATCCGGATGTCATAGTCGAGGAAAGACGTACCCGTGGTCCACGGCAGCCCCTTCCAATGCCTTCAATGCAGCCAAACTCGCAATCCGGAAACCCTCCACAATCGTCTGCGGATGGATCCTCATCCCAATCAACTTCTCCGCCTCCCTCAACAACTCTGCCGAAAGCACGCAAACACTTGTGGTTCCATCTCCGACTTCATCGTCCTGGACTTTCGAGATATTGACAAGGATCTTGGCAGCGGCATTATCAAGCTGGATGGCTTTGAGGATTGTGGCACCATCGTTTGTGACGTTGATGTCGCCTGAAGACATGGATTGGAGGATTTTGTTCATGCCTTTTGGGCCGAGGGTGGATTTGACGAGATCGCCGAGTGCGAGAGCACCGACGAAGGAAGAAAGACGCGCATTTTCGGCCTTTTCTTCGGTGGCCTAGGTCAAGAGAGATAATTAGTACGAGTCACAGATATAGGAGCGAAACGTACCTCGTCGCTGAAGATGTTCATAGACATGGTGGATGTAGGATGCTGTAAGACGCGCGACTTCAAATCGGTGAACGCGAGGATGAGCGTGACGCCAAAAGGGGAGTGACGCGTACCCATCACGCATCGTCACTCCTGTGACCGATCTTGTTTACTTGTTGTGGACGTTCGTTGTCGACCATATCCGTCCTCTTTCCTCGTTTCCATCCTTAGGATCCTCTGAAGGCATCATCTAGTGTTCTCAGCAATAGCGGCTCATATCCCTGAGCTGTACTTGATGATCAGATACGATGCATCTCCTCATCTTTATCGTAGGCTTTTCCTACTCATAGGCGGACTCGGAAACTAGACGATACGGACTGGAAAGCTATAGGATACTAGTGCTCAGACTATGAGCTGTTGACTCTCACATAAGGCTTCTACTTTTTGAATGGGTTGGTGTATCACGCTGTCTGGCTGTGCTCGAGGACTTCGCAATTGGCAATATCTGCTTTGGGACACAACAACACAATAGACGATTTGAGCGAATTTCGACCCAATTCCCCACCATTGCCACCTATCCCTAGCAAATTTGCCCTTTGGCCCAACACCTTCCAGAGATGGCTATTTCCCCCGCCATTGTATGGTCCTGCTTGGCCAACACCTTCCTGAAAAGACAAGTCTCGATGCTGTCCGCCGTTGCTTTGGCCCCCGGGGTCTCGCCCCGCTTTGTTTTCTGCCTCGTTCTCCTCCCTCCTTCCATACAAGGGAGGTGTTCTTATTTGTACACCCCAAGCCTTCGCAAACCACACCAAACAAAACCTGGGAGAGCCATTCTCGGATTGTGGGTCCACTGTGGGCGCCGTCTTCGAGCATGATGGCAACGCAGAGGCGAGGGGGTATATGCAAATGGCGAGGATGGCTATAAAAACCCTCCCTGGACGGGGGAGGAAGTGCCATCACCCGACTTGAGCTCTCACCCGCCCCAGTTCTCCCGTCCCTCCCCCGCCTCCCGAGCCATCATCCCTCCCCTTCAAACACATCCCTATCCCTCACATAGCACGTCCACCCACTTCTGCCTACCCCACATCCTTCCAAATAGCTATATATACGATGTCCTTCATCACCTTCTCCTCCTCCCCTGATTCTGCCTCTGCTTCCACTCCCTCCCCTCCCGAGGTTCGTTAGCGCCACATATTCGCGCCGCACTCTGACTGATCACGTGATCGTTCCTCCCTTCTCCCACAGCCTATCATCAAGAGCACCGCCGACCCTTCGTCGACCAGGCCTGGATATATTTGTGGGCTCTGTGGTAATGAGTTTGTGACGATCCATGATCACAATCGTCATTGGGAGGGCGTCCATTCTGGGCTGCCTAAGTACGTTTTATTCTCGCTCATCTCATCGTCTCGTGTTCGAGTCGTACTGATAGTGTTATCCTCTTCCTAGGAAGTACGCCTGCTCATATCCGGGTTGTACTCATAGGACGCGTCAACATAGCAATCTCAAGATCCACATGTACAGACAGTACGTCCTTTCTTCCTTTATTCATCTCCCTCACCCTCATCCCCTCTTCCAAATAGTCTCAGCCCCGAAGAGAAAGACAAAGTCACAGTGTACTGTCCTGAAGAAGGCTGCACCAGGACATGGATCGATCCCGCCGCAGGCTGTCGTCATTTGAAGAACGCACACGGCTACAAACCCCATCATCGTCCTGATTTCGTCTCTCGTGCGCACCCGAAGTCTTCCGTTCCCTCGTCTTCGAAGCCGAAGCCGAAGACTAAGTCCGCAGGGGTGAAGAAGCGGACGACCAAGAAAGAGGTTCAAAGCCCGACGATCAAGAAAGAAGAGTTGACGCCGAAGCAAATGCAGACGCAAACACATATGCAAACGTTCCAAGACGAGAACCAGGAGGCGATGGATGCTGCGACTTGGACGGCGCAGGCGTGTCGGGAACTCGCTCAATTCCTTTTGTCGTGTTCTCAGTCCGAGCCATCCACTCCCTCCGCCTCTTCTCCCGCCTCACCATCGTATTCGTCGTTGTCTGCGTCCGCTCTCACGCCCGAGTCTTCCCTCTACTCTACGCCGAAGCACTCGCCATCTGGCTCTTCTCCCTCTTCTGCGTCTCCTCCACTTCGCACACCGTCGCCATGGGAGAACCTTGTCCTCACCTACCCTGATGACGAAGAACTCTACATCGCCAATCAACGCGAGCTTACGCTCCATGAGCCTGTTCCTCAATACCCCCAACAACAACAATACCAGTATCAGGATGCCTCTGTGGCGCAGTGTGGCGAGCTCGACGCTGATAGCATCTTGGAATTCTTCTCTTCTGTCATCGAGTATCAGCGCTGCCTGCCCTCCCTCGATGCGAGCATGAACGCCGATACGGCCATGACCTTCGACATCGATATGGATGGGACGACCGACCCTGCGCTATTCAATGCTGGTTACGATGCGTCGAGTCCTGAGGTTATTGGGTTGTATTAGACGTTGAAACGGGAGTTGGACGTTCTTCGCGGACCCTTTTATATTATCATGTGTCTCTCGTCTCTCATCATTATCCAGACTATGCCTCCACTCATCTCTCTCTGTCTCTCCTCTGCCTTGCCTTCGTTGTGTTTCTGCCTTTCACAACTTCGTTCACCCTGCCACAATGCCCGCCTCGTTCTCTGAGATTCGAGATTCGAGCGGTGCGGGCGCCTTGTTTTATTATTCGTTTCTTATTTCAACCTTCGCTGTTGCATGTATTACTATCAAGCTCCGAGTCCCTGTTCACTCTCAGCCCCTTCACACACTACTGTACTTCCTTTCATCATTCGGCTTCACTGTACAAACTATACTCCAGACTCGCACGGGCCACGTCATTGCTGGTGCCGTTGTACCAGGAATGAAATACTACAAAGATTTGGAAAGCTCGTGTTTTGGTGTGATCAGGAAATTATGAGATGTGGATGTGGCGGATCGGGTGCTATCAAGGTGGTGTGGCACCAGCTTTACTTGGTATTCATGGGAAGCCCGCACTCCTGGAAGGATTTCAACGCGAATAACTTCCATATTTCACCGCATCCCATAGCATTTCCGTCTCTGTACGATTTTTGCCACCCATGATTTGTGCAGTGAATTTTGCGTGATTTTGTGGCTCCCCTGAACGACACGTACTGCGCGTCGTCCTAAATTAGAACTTGAGTGCGCTGGCCTTCGTCCATCTATCACCTTCAACTTCGACATCCATCATCGTCCCCGCACCCTCCCTTTCTTCCTCATAAATTCCGTTTTAATCGTCTCAAACTCGTTGTCGCTCTTTATAAATAAATTCACTACTGCTTGAGCGAACGAACGAACGGAAAACGATGTCGGCCAGCGTCCGCGCGCGCCGTCCCGCGTCTCCCCCACCCGGCACATCATACCCACCTCCTCCCTATCCATCCAACCACAACTCATCGCAACGATTCCCCACACCCCGCGAAGGGATTCTCGATGCGGACGAACGACGCGCGCAAGCTTCGTTAGGTTTCGGACCGACAAGCGCGAGGAAGGGAGGCGGACATCAATTCCCGAGTGGGGGGTTGAAGGTGACGAGTGGGGAGTGGAAGTTGTTGGCCGTTGTGCTCGCTATTGCATGTGCGGTTAGGTTGTTTAGGATTGGGTGGCCGGATAGTGTGGTGTGAGTGCGCTCTCTTGAATGCTCTGGTCTTTATATTCGTCCGTGGATGGGTGTGGGTGTGGGACCTACTTTTCAGATGCTATTCTCGTCCTTCACCATTGTGCTGGTTATGTCTCCTTTCGAGAGGGAAATTAGTCTTAACGGTTGTGCAGACTATGGCCTTTCTACATGCCGAGTCTTATCCGAACACTCAGTCTGTGTGGCGCGTAGAACACGTCAATCTCGGACGCCACACCTCTTTTATACCTGCCGTCCCTCGTAGCTCAGCCCGTTCAAATACTGACCTCAAATTATCTCTCTAAATAGATTCGATGAAGTCCACTTCGGAAAGTTTGCAGGCAAATACATCAAGACGCGCTACTTCGTAGATGTCCATCCGCCACTAGCTAAACTCCTTATTACCCTCGCTGCTTTCGTGTTTGGATTCGATGGAGATTTTGACTTCAAGGATATCGCAAAGTAAGCCGCAGCTATTCTCACCCATATTTCAAACCGTTGATCATAGTCTCGCACCTGAAATCGCCTCAGAGTTTACGAAAACACTCCGTATGTCGCAATGCGCATGGTCCCCGCCGTCCTCGGAATCGCCACCGTCCCCCTCGCCTACCTGACGCTCCGTGCCCTTGACTGTCGCGCCACGACCGCCCTGCTCGCCTCTATGCTCATCACCTTCGAAAACGGCCTAATCACCCAATCCCGACACATCCTCCTCGACTCCCCACTCATCTTCTTCACCGCACTAACCACCTTCGTCTGGACCGGCTTCTGCAATGAAGACAAGCACGAGCCGTTCACGAAACGCTGGTGGACGTGGCTCACGCTCTCTGGTCTCTCACTCGGTGCCGTCGTCAGCTGTAAATGGGTCGGGCTGTTCACTATTGCGACCATCGGTATGAGTACGCTCAGGCAGCTTTGGGTGTTGTTGGGAGATGTGAGGGTATCGCCGCGGTTGTGGTTCAGACATTTTTGGGCCAGGGCGATCTGTTTGATCTTGCTGCCGGTGTTGTTCTATATGACAATGTTCCAGATACATTTCTTGATATTGGAGAATTCGGGAGATGGGGATGGGTTTATGAGTGCGGAGTTTCAACATACGCTTGGAGGGCATCAGATGGAGGATACATATGCGGGTGAGTTTGTTCCTTTTCGTGTTTGCATGGATATGTGCTGACGCTGTTGGTTTCGGCAGATGTTGCCATTGGGTCGACTGTTAGTATTCGCCATGTGAACACCCAGGGTGGCTACCTCCACTCGCACGCACACAACTACCCCGGTGGAAGCATGCGTATGTCTTGCCTTTCTCAACCGTTTTTTTTCGCTTTTTAACGTCCCTTCAGAACAACAGATCACGCTCTACCCCCACGGCGACGAGAACAACGACTGGCGGATCCTCAACGGCACGGAACAAGGGAACCCCCTCGACGACTGGGAGTCTCTGAACCCACTACGCTTCATCACCAACGGCCAACGCCTCAAATTCCGCCACCTCACCACCGAAAAGAACCTGCACTCGCACGACTTCCGCCCGCCCGTGTCCGAGGTCGAGTTCCAGAACGAGGTCTCCGCGTACGGCATGCCTGGTTTCGTGGGCGACTCGAACGACGATTGGATCATCGAGCTCGACGGAGGGGCGAAGACGCTGAAGACGCTGAGGACGAAGTTTAGGCTGAGGCATGTGTTGACGGGGTGTTATCTGTTTTCGCATAAGGTCAAGTTGCCGCAGTGGGGCTATGAGCAGCAGGAGGTGACGTGTAATAAGAATGCGGTGAAGGCGAACTCTCTGTGGATGATCGAGACCAGCGATCATCCGTATAGTGAGTCGGTTCCTTTTACTGTGCGATCTGGAGGCTAACGATGGGGGTGTGATGAATAGTGCCGACGAATGCGAAGAAGGTGAACTATAGGCAGATGGGCTTTTTGGCCAAGTTCTGGGAGTTGCAGCAGGTGATGTGGACGACGAATGCTGGGCTTACGGAGAGGCATACGTTCGATTCTAGACCGGACTCTTGGCCTACTCTCCGTCGCGGGATTGTACGCGACCCGTTTTTCACGTTATTGGCTGCCGCTGATAGTCACATTTTGCAGAACTTCTGGGTGAAGGATCACAGGCAGGTATACCTGCTCGGAAACCCTATGGTATGGTGGCTGAGCACCGCCGCCGTGCTCGCCTACACGTCAGTGCGCGGGTTCCTCATCCTGAGGCAAAAGCGTGGCTACCGTGACTTTGAAAACAGTACGCCTTTCGAAAGACCACATCTCCTCTCGCTATAACACACTGACGTGTCTCTCGACTCAACAGCCAAAGTCGTCAAATACGACTCCCTTTGTGGCTTCCTCTTCCTCGGCTGGGCGCTGCACTACCTCCCCTTCTACCTCATGTCCCGCCAGCTCTTCTTGCACCACTACTTCCCCGCGCTCTACTTCGCCATCCTCCTCCTCTGTTCCGTCTTCGACTTCCTCACCTCGACACTGCGTCCGAGATTGCGGTTACAGATTGCGGTGTTTTTGGTCGTGCTGGCGGTCTGGAATTATTGGATTTTCAGCCCATTGGTTTATGGGGGCCAGTGGACGAAGGGGAAGTGTTTGGAGGCGAAGTGGGTGAAGACGTGGGACTTCTCGTGGTATGTTTCTTCGTTATCTCGTGCCAGACTATAGGCGGCTGACCGGGACTTTATTGCGCGTCTTGTAGCTCCGACTTCCACGATACGGTACGTGATGCCCACACCGATCAAATATGTTCCCTCAGACTGATCTCCAACTCATTTTGCACACATAGTATGCCGAATACGAAGGCACCATCGCCGCTACCCCACACGAATCCAAAGTCGCAGTCTCTCCACCCGTCCCTGTCGCCACCGTAGGCGGCGAAGCAGGCGGCCGCGGCGCCGTCGTCGTCGACATCAAAGATAACGAAGCCGCCGCCCCTGTCGTGGAAGAGACACCAATGCCTGAAGGTGCACGCCCGGAACCGGGACGCGATATATTCGCGGGAGACGAGAAAAATAATCTGGGGAACTTGAAGAGTTTGGCTGCCCAGGCTCAGGCGCAGAGGGAGCAGAAGTTGAGAGATAAGCAAGTTAGTACCGTCGGGCAGGGTGGTGGTCGGGCTCAAGGTCATGGAGATGGAGACAATGTGGAGATGGATACAGTTACGCCAAGGAATGAGGAGGAGATGTTGAAGGCGAAGATGGCGGAGAAGGAGGCGGCGAAGGTCAACCCTGATACGCCCAAGTCGGAGCCTGTCGTGGAGCCGGAGCCGAAGTTGGGACAGGTCGTGATTGAGGAGCAGTCTTTGCCCAGTGCGAGGACTGAGTCGTTGGACACTCCGCTGGCGGAAGAGAGCACTTCGACGGTGGCGGAGGCGGCATCATCGACGACAGCAACGCAGGAGCCCATAAAAGCGGACCGACCGTTGGGTGAGGAGGAGGCGGAGGCGGACGAGGTGCGTCAGGAGTTGTTCCCTGAGGCTGGGGAGCCGTGATAGATGGGATGGGTTTGAGCGAGTGGTGTGAACCAGATTTGTTGTTGAAAATTGGTGTCTGGGTGGTGGTGGTGGTTATCTCTGACTTGCATGGAAGTGAATACTATTTGTCAGTTCACAGCGGACACCCGTCTAAAGGGTTGGTTTCTATGACACAATCTTCCCTTCGTCTTACTGTACCTTTTGCTGTGCCACTTAGTACAGTATCGTACTCTACTCTGCTATTTATCTCTTGCTCAAAACCGGCGGCCTCGATATCCAGTTTCAATTGGAAAAGTCCGAGTCCTCCGAGGGAGGATGAAAAGTAAAGTAAGATGGTGTTTAACACTGTAATGTCCAGGCTTGAATAGAGATTCAAGAGTGGACGCGTGTTCTGGTGCAAGTGTGATAGCTATCACAGGTGCGATCTGCCGTGTTCTAAGAAGCCTTGCTTCTAGGTCAAAGGTCTGGTGTAGTGGCGATTCTACACAGTCAGAGGTTCTTGATATCGATAAGGGAAGCTAGTCCTGTTGAAAGGACTAGTTCAAGTACGAGTAGATAGACGAGGTAAGTCAGAGATGAATAGGTTAAAGAACTCCCCTCTACTAGGGTCGTCCTTATATAGTACATACATGCGCAGCCGCAGGAGGCTATGAATCCTATAAGTAAGTCAGACTGAGTCGTCCTCGTACTGTGCCCCAGTCCGTAGTCGCGGCGGAAACCTATACCTAATAAATATAGTACAAGCCTATGCAAGGCTATGAAGCACAGTCCAAGGCTATGAGAAGCTATGTAGTCCGTAGTCGAGAATACGAAAGGAGTCGAGACACGTCTACAGGTCCATGGAATGTTCATCAACCGGCCATATGAGTGGATGATGTGTATGTAGTTAAATAAAAAGAAACTGAGACTGCACATCCGCGTCTCCTGCGGTATCAGACATGTCGAGCAGAATAGAAGACGAAAAATATAGTCCATAACATTTACCCCCCTTCTACGTCAGTCGCGCCTCGAGACTCTTGTATGGAGAATTGAATTC